CAAAGACAGGCCGAAATTGAGTAAACATTTAATCCACATCATTCATCCCGCCACCAAGCGGAGGGGGGGGGGCGCTAAAACGATCATGTTTTCCATTGATTGGGCATCCCAAAGGATCCACAAACTGGACAAGATTGTTGAATTCCTTGGAATATCCAATCAATGTACATGACTCAAAAACAGGGTATACAAACTTTGTGACCTCTACAAGCATTGTTATTGAAGGATGTGATGCCCCGACACGACACAATTAAATCTAAACACTCACAACAATGAAAATTATGCATAGTAGGTTATTTGCGGAAATATTGCGAATAAGTTTAGAAAATTATTACAAGAACAAGAAAAAGACAACTGCTGTTGTTGATTTAAGAACGGCAAATGAGATCCCGCACATTTTCGATGATGCCATGTATTGACAGATTCCTTCAACTGACTCTAGGTGGAGCAACAGTATATGAAATATTATTTTTATGAAAATTAAGACTTTGACGTTGCTTTGTATGCACACATGAACAATGTTAACAAATTTATTTGAATATAATATATTGGATACAATGATTTATTTGACATCCTAATTAGTTCAGATGTGCAAATTCAAGGGACAAATAAAGTTATTTAGAATCGCATATCCCGTTTCACAATTAAAATTACAATAAGTTAATAGTTAGTAGCCTTCGGTACATCCGTTTCGTTACGCATATTAAACTAGGTGAAATATATAATTCTATTATATAATATTTATAATAGCAAACATTACTTTTCATTTTACGTCGCATTACGTTTACTATCCTGTCATTTGGATCTTACGGTAAATATCTAGAAAATTTTATGTGAAAATTTTATGTACGTTGCTCAACCAATTCATCATTTGTAAATACATGGATGATGAGATCAAAGTGAACCAAATTCACGTGATGTTTCATTAATGCCCTCGCAGGTAATGGCGACGGAGAATTTAAAGGTCTAGAAGGTGTCGCAGTGTCGAACGGAAATCCAAATGGAAATCGAATATATGTCGCGGACCGTGAGAATCACAGAATTTGTGCATTTGTCTAGTGATACTAATTCGAATAAGTTCTTCACTAACTTACTTTACGAGACACGAAATTATATACAATACATAATACACATCAGCTAGCACTTTGTATTCACTATACGCTTGTACTATACATACACATGTACATATGTAAGACTACTTTAGAAAGAACAAAGTAATCTTCTTTGTTCTCTTGTGTTTGTGTTTCAACTTTCCCTGTCCTCCTTTCTTCTCTATAAATAAGTATGTATCTCAACTATCCACTTATTCTCCACTCTGTGTAGCAACTTTCACCAACTTACAAGGACTGAACCTGTCTAAGTTAAGAGTAAATAAAAAATATTCGCGAATCTTAAATGCTTCACGTTTCATTCTCATTTGATGCTGGAATTATATACTGACGCTGACATGAAGGGCGACATTCTCAAGTAAGTTGAACTTGATTGAGTTATATGTACATGCATACCTACGAACGAGATTGTAGCAAGAAGTGGTACTCTGCACGCAATATAATGCTTCTGTCCATACTACATGAACACATTTTTCTGAGATATGTAACTTGATGCGAGGGCGATGATGCTGTGATGACGATGGTTGTCTGTCGCCGAGATGTTCCATTTCATTATATGTAAGCACGATTCACGATACATATACAACGGAGATGGGCTTTGCTTCATTATTATTTATAGAATATCTCTTAAATCAGTTGTCACTTGTTTGCCTATTGATAAAACTTTTCAGTTTATTCGTGTCATAGTGCTGACTAATTTCATTACCACAACGGACGTCAGCACTCGACTTGAATAACTTTGTCTGCATGATCCTCTCACGCCAAGACGTTCCACTCCGAACTCAACCGCTGTGCAACAAAATAAATGAAATATGAAGCTACGAAAATCTAATTGGCACATACTCCAACTTGTGAACTCTGTACAAATAAGTACCCTGTACAGGCAACATTTGCATATACAACAGGGCGTACTGCATAGGTAGGCATGCATCTGTGTGTGAGATGATGCGAGTGGAATTGACGCAGCCCAATTTTAAATTGACGATGGGAAAATCTAAGCTGACGGCAACAAGTGCAAAAAGACGTTTTCATCAACCTCTAAACTCGTCAACATCGTGTCGGATGGATCTGATTTTCCCATTAGAGACTACAACAGAATAGAATCTCTTCTAATGGCGAGAGAGGGCCTCAAAGCTACACATGTAGATGTATCATCATCCGCTTTTTGGGACTTTGGGATTTAATTTCATGCATGCCGTGAGGTCTAGTCGTATCACATCACATTCATTCGGCGATTATGCATTTGGGACCCAGCACAATTCTAAACAGAACTCATGGAGAATACACACATACCTACCATGCAATACTCTCAATCTGGAGATTCAAAGGAACAAAGGAATGGGTGTGGGAGCATATTTGTTTATGCAATGTTGGCAATTTACTTGGGCTGTTGGTTGTGGTGATAAAATCAGTTCGCTTAAATGGAAATCCACTTTCCTCTTTCCTCCAGCTGCCCAACATTCTGGTCACATAATATTCGACGCGTTCTGATGATAATATTCACATCGTTTATTTCACACATTACATTGCGTTTCGAATTTACTTGGATTTTTAGCCACGTCTCAGGGCTTACGTACGTACCCATCATGACGTCCGTCTATCGATAACTCTCGTGAAACTCATCAAATCTACTTTGGTACAAATTTGGTAGAAATTTGGTAGAAACTTAGTATGGGGAAAATGAGGATCAAGTTCAAAAGGACAATGCCAATTAAGTGGTTTGCAGAGATCATATAGGTCGGGTGAGGTTTTTGATGCATGATCGTAGAAGACTGGTTATTCGCGACTAATTTTGTATTTCCAAACTAAGAATGACGTGTTAAAATGACTACATTACTTCTTAAGTTGAGCCCCCAGGGTTTCTGAAAATTGTGACAAAGCTGACATTTGGCACGAGCGAACATTAGATTTAAAAATATTAAATAAATTTCAGGAATTTGTTCACTAGTCCCTTAGAGGAAGCTAAAATTCGTGTTTCTAAGTTGGGTTTAGAAATAAATGATAAAAAAAGCCGACAAGAAATTGATCTGAGGAAAACTGTTGTAATACCAAGACCCGGACTAAATAAGATTGCACACACAATATGTTATTTTACAAGCTTGTTTTACTTGACATACCGAATTGCTTTGACTTGCATCAAAACAATTTCATTTACAAACCAAATCTGCTTTATTTTCTTGGTGTGACTACGAACGGAGCCCACAAGTTCACTCAAGGAGTAGTTTTCCAAACTTGAAATGAAGCCAATGTGACACTGAGTAAGAGGGAACGACCCCCGTCAAGTCACAACCAATGCGGACTTTGAGAGAACAATGAAAGCTAGTTCACATTCACATGCATTCGTGGAGGAGCAGTGAAGATGATGATGACGGGGAATTGGAGAAAGTCGGCTCACAGCATGACATGTTCACATTAAACATGCCAACACATGACGACTGCTGCTGCTGCGACTGGCTGCTCCTACGACTTTCTCTGACGACGATGACTGACTCTGCTTTCCCTGCCCTTCCTCGATCTCGCTGATCCCCACAGACACAAAAGTTGTTGTAATACGTGTGTACATGCGAGTGGATGAATGGATAACGTATGAAGCATGTGCAAAAACAATTCCCTCCGCTCTCCTCAGCTCATTTCTATTTTGACTGACTCTCCTGGCATAATAACCATACGTAGGATTATGGATATTATGTTGTTTACGTATAAATGACTGCGTAAGAGATAAGGACTCTACTTTACTACAAACTCTCATAATTTAAACCATTTTGATCCGGTTGAACTTGACGGTTTCTGCAGTTCCTAGACTTTTATTATAAATAATAAAAGGATTTTTATTGCCGAGATTGCTCAGACAATTTTTCCTCATTCAATTCACTTTCATCTTTCAAGCGAAGTAAACAAAGTTACCCACTTTGGACTTTAATGAAAGTCGGATAAATCAAAGAACCTGTCAAAGAACACGAACATTGGTTATTAATGAATTTCCTTTTGTGAATAATTAGTAGCCCATTTTATTTGTTTGGGTAGATTGTATTGTGTAATTGTGACTACTTAAGTATGCAAATAAGACCAAACTCAATTGTCTAGTCTGTACTTTGTTTGAAGGAAAGTCTAGTTGCATTATGTAGGGAATTTCAAGAAGTCATTTTATGTACCACCGACTTGGGATTGAAATGTTTACTTGTGCTCAATTCTAAAGACCACGACTTGGATTTTATATTTGCTCAATTATTTATTTGAACATTTTGAACTGGGAAGCCCGTAGTGGTGAAAAATTGACTACTTACTTTAAATTGAAACTTTTGTTGAAATGTTAACAATACATAATACCCCACAGCGAGAAATCTTCTGGGTAAAGACCAATTTGTCATTGAAAAAGGCTCCCAGTTTTTTTATGCTGAACATACATTCATTGTATTTTGTTGTCATTTCGATGTTCGTACAATGCACAGTGAGTTATTTCACAAAAAATGCGAATCAAATATTTTAAGGTTTAAAATGGACCCATGTGGGTGGGGGAGCATAAAAAAATGGGTCATTGTGGTTTTTGAAAGGGGGTGTGGTGTCTGGGGGGGTTTTTCTGAAATTTCAAAAAAGTCTCAAATTCCCCCCAAGACCACACCCACTTTGAAGAGAATTTAATGCTGATTAAAAAAAGCTATTATACATGCCCCTAGCTCCTATCATTCTCCCGGGAAAAAATAAAACGTGGCGAAGAAACGGGATTTTTGTCCAAAACGACAATTTCGACAATTTAAAATGGCTGGTAAATTCGTAAATCGAAAAAGTAGCAGCCAATGACCTATACGTCATATACTACCCTTATAGGTGTGTCTAATGACGCAACGTTTAGAAAAATCCCAGACACAATTTTTGGGAAAACGTCACGCAAAGTTGGGTGTCGAAAATGGTGATGCGTCGACCACTTTTGAGAGAAGCTACATCTTTTAGAGTAATAAGTAGCAATAACTGACCTGTTTCTCGTTAAGTACGCTCATAAGACTGTATAATAATGTGACCCTTGTCCCATCCAGAGTTGCAGTCTTTCTAATAATTTAAGTCAAACTTGCGTCAGATGAGCGTTCCCGGAAATTCCAAAACTCGACAACTTAAAATGGCTGGCAAATTCTTAAATCGAAAAAGTAGCAGCCAACTACCTGTCGTGGGTTGAGTGAATTACCCCGACAACGTCTTATCATTATTTCATGTCTAAATATGTATGTCTGTAAATTTTACAATGTCTGAGAATTTGAGTAATTGGTGTCATTTTTTTAGAGTCTGAATCAGAGAGTCAGTAGGGTCATTATTTCATGTACGTATGTCAAGTTAGTACTTATGCATGATTACTGATGCCCGATGTATGTACTCTAAAGTAATAAAGCCAAGTTTATAAGTTGATCAACACAAGTCGTTGTTCAAAAGTATATTTCGGAAGACATAAGTCGTCGCCCGAAACACTACCTATACGTTTTAAAGTACCCATATAGGTGTATCTAATGACGCAACATTTGGGAAAATCCCAGACACAATTTTTGAGAAAAGATAAGGCAAAGTTGGGCAAAATCAAGGTTGGCGAAAATGAAAAAAATTTCTAAGTGTTTGCATGACATAAGGAAAAAATTTTTATTGCATTTTTACACGTTTCAGACAATTCTAAGACTTTTTCTCACTGTGCCCCAAATCTAGGAGCTAGCTAGGAGCTAGGGGCATGTATAATAGCTTTTTTTAATCAGCATTAAATTCTCTTCAAAGTGGGTGTGGTCTTGGGGGGAATTTGAGACTTTTTTGAAATTTCAGAAAAACCCCCCCAGACACCACACCCCCTTTCAAAAACCACAATGACCCATTTTTTTATGCTCCCCCACCCACATGGGTCCATTTTAAACCTTAAAATATTTGATTCGCATTTTTTGTGAAATAACTCACTGTGCAATGTAAGTCCTAGAAAAAGTTTGAACATTAAAATCTAAAAATAACAATTGAAATACAATTAACAATTGAAGTTCTGCTATATATACAACATAAAACTTATTTTTAATTTGAGAAACCATATTTTTTTTATTTACTTGTTAACAATAAAAACATGTAGTATGTTCTCATTTGAATAAAATTTATTCATACGTTTGAAAGTTTTGACGTAATCTTGTACCGAAATTCTGGGAAAACTTAAAGTTTTCATTATACGAAACTTTTCAAGCGATGCAAAACCTCATTACAAAATAGAAGTGCATTCAATTTTTGAGAATGATGCCGCAAGGTTCTGGAAATAGTTTTTCCTTTTTGACTTTAGAAAGTTGATGAAAAGGTGAGGGAGTAATTTATTTAATGGCTTGTGTACCTGTGAATATAATAATATTTTACGGTGAGAAAGTCGAGTCGGCGGTGAACAAAGGGGAGAAAGTTGAAAGGGTATAACTTAAGGATGCTCGCTTTAGTAAGGATGCCGTCCATGACAAAACCATCCACCGGAGCAGCAAGCAGGCAGCACAGGCGATGCCGCGTGGAATCTTTAAACACATTTTAAACATTTTCACTTGCATAACTCTATTTCAAAGCTTTAAATAGACCGAGACCGAGAAAGACCGAGATAGGTAAAGAAATTCATACAAATGACTGGTAAAGAGCGCCTGTGAAAATGTGAGAAAGGTTGCTGTAAATGTGTATGCAGTTAGAGTTAGAAATATTGCATTTCGGTAAATCATTTCATCATCAACTGCAAGAATCGTTGGACGTATGCAAGTCTACCTTCAAATCGGGATATCTTCTCTGTCACGCGTTCACTTGTTCATGTCAAAATAATAAAAAATTGTTAAAGCAAATAGTTTAATTATCTTACAGGCGACTTGATGCAAAATGTGACTATGTATGCAAGAGTATGTATGCAAGAGTACGTAGGCCAGTCATTGAATTTAATCTAGGTGTTCTCAAAAAGCATTGAAAAAATTGAAAATAAACAAAAACTCGGCAAAAATTGCTAGATGCCTTCAAATGAATGTATCTAAATTATCATTTGCGAGATCGTATCTTCCTCCATTGTTGTAGTGTATTGCAGATCATCAATATCTAAGGATAATTTTATGCAAAATAAAGGCATATATAAATATATATGATGACTATATTATTTTTTATGCCAGATATTCCTGCAAACTCCAATATCGGATTTCCTTTTGCGGATACGTATCCGCAAAGGGGGGTGATCCGCTGTAACCCTAATACCCAGGTATCCAACTCAGAAGTAATTTCTATCTACTTGCAACAGCAGCATCAAGGGCTTAAGGCAATATGATATCATAAAATATATTAACCAAGCTGGTACAGAATAATAAGTTAAGTACAACAGACGAAAAATGTTTAGCCCACCTATTGTTTCTACCAAAGCTTTCTGAGCTTTATTAGAATGGTGTGCATGCATGGTCTATCCTTCCTCCGGCATAAAATAAGGTGAACAAAGATGGGGATTATAATAAGCATCGCGACATTAAAAGTTAGCCTTTTTAAAAGTATTGAGAGCTTTTGCGGAAAAATTTGTTCACCGTGCCGATTAATGAATCAATTTAACGAACCTTCAACGAACAAGACAAATCCATTACTTTCCTTTGAAAGCATGTCTATACCCACCTTGTAATAAACTTGAATATTAAATACATATCCTATACGACACGTCGCTCAAGAGCGTTCGTCCCTCATATTTTTTATCATGGGACTTAACAGGTATGTATGCAAAATATAGCAAGTTCATAAAGACTTTGCTCAGCATCTTCTAGGAAGAAAATTGCGTTCTTTGCTCTATTTTCAATTCTGGGGTTCGCTTTCATCTTATGCCGGAGAGAAATTTTAGCATGTTTGTACCAAAACGAAAAGGCTAGGAAAAACTAATTATAATTATTATTCGAGATATTTAAAATAATTGAATAAAATATTAATTATGCATAAGTTCTCAAAAGACTCATCTCATTGGAACTAATAAGAAGTGTCATGATTGCCACTTAATTACTAATTGATGAGGGTGGCTTTTTATTTACAAGAAAATTGGTCTCAAGAGCTTTTTGTATGGCAAGTCTTTGAAACAATTGAATATATCTCCCTCGAGCAGGTTCTTGTATATGTAGAGAATTGGGAAAGTATCTATTTATGTGTCTCACGCACGAGAACAACCTGGAGCTGGGTCTTATAAGGGAACCTTAAGTACTGTCATATTTCGATTTTATTTCGGATGGTCTTAATTGATAGATAATTTAGCGTAACTAAAACTTTGTCACAGAACATACGGTGCAAAATCACGTTTTAGCGAAATATTTGGCGAAAGTTGCGCCAAAAAGTACAATTTTTCCAATGCTTTTAATATAGATAACAGCCTTCGGAATAATGAAATGAAGTTTATAAGTTATACACCTGTCCGTAATTTCATGCTGACCACCAATATGCAAAAAAACAATCCAAACAATTGCCATTTTTTTAAATTGGGAAAATCTGGATAATTTTCTCAATTTGGATTTCGCCGTTTTTTGACATTTCAACAATTTCCAGCTTCTTTTAAGCATTGCAAAAAAGTTTTCCAATAATAATTTTCCCCATTACAACACAATGGGAGAAAATTTTCAAAGATTGAAATTCACAATTTTTAATGAAAAAAGATAACATGACCAATGCTAGTCTATTTTACGTATTATTCAAAATTGTTGGCTATATTTATTTTTGCACGTTTTAAAAAATTCTGGAAAATTGTATCGCCAGTTTTTAGCATATTCAACAAAATAACTTTCCGTATCTCGTTCGAGATTTTAAGCTTTTTGGAGAACTTGAAAAATTTTCATCTGGGAGGGACCCCATAGGGTCCCTCCACTATGGTATATACTGATAGATAAGACGACCTAAATAAATAGGGCGCCCTATTTATTTAGGTCGTCTTATCTATCAGTATATACCATAGTGGAGGGACCCTATGGGGTCCCTCCCAGATGAAAATTTTTCAAGTTCTCCAAAAAGCTTAAAATCTCGAACGAGATACGGAAAGTTATTTTGTTGAATATGCTAAAAACTGGCGATACAATTTTCCAGAATTTTTTAAAACGTGCAAAAATAAATATAGCCAACAATTTTGAATAATACGTAAAATAGACTAGCATTGGTCATGTTATCTTTTTTCATTAAAAATTGTGAATTTCAATCTTTGAAAATTTTCTCCCATTGTGTTGTAATGGGGAAAATTATTATTGGAAAACTTTTTTGCAATGCTTAAAAGAAGCTGGAAATTGTTGAAATGTCAAAAAACGGCGAAATCCAAATTGAGAAAATTATCCAGATTTTCCCAATTTAAAAAAATGGCAATTGTTTGGATTGTTTTTTTGCATATTGGTGGTCAGCATGAAATTACGGACAGGTGTATAACTTATAAACTTCATTTCATTATTCCGAAGGCTGTTATCTATATTAAAAGCATTGGAAAAATTGTACTTTTTGGCGCAACTTTCGCCAAATATTTCGCTAAAACGTGATTTTGCACCGTATGTTCTGTGACAAAGTTTTAGTTACGCTAAATTATCTATCAATTAAGACCATCCGAAATAAAATCGAAATATGACAGTACTTAAGGTTCCCTTGTTATTATTATTGTTATTTTTTTAATAGTGAAATTTCAAAATATGCAAACATTTGTCAGAGATTCGTACCGTCGTATTTATCAGTTAGCAAATACTTGTCAATTTTTCATAAAACTAACTTGAATAAAATACGAATAGATAAGTTTCATGTGAACTCTATTTTTAGATTCTTTCTTAGAATAAAGTTTGAGAACTTTGTGGAGATTCTCCTTCCTTAACTTTAATTAAGGTCAAGGATGGATAGAAGAATATTAATTAAAACCACACCAGAGAAAACAAGAACACTGAATTTTGTTTTCATCAGGGTTGATGAATTCAAATATTTGAACGAAGATTGCACAGAATGACAAAGAATACCACAGCAAAGATGAGGTTCCTTTAAGCACAAAAGACACCAGATATTTACGGTACACGTAAATATACCATAAGTGGATTTGGAAGACGACAGTCTTGAATATTCAGCCCAAGTTATCATTCTTATTAGTTTTGCATAGATAGATAAATACGCGACGCGCCTATAAAATTCGTAACTATAAATAAGAAATCAATACTTTATCTACCTTTATATTTCCACATAGACTGCAATCTAGGGAATCAGTGTTTCATAACCAAACCACATTTTTCATAAACTATCCTAAAATAGCCAATAATCAGCCCGAGTGTGCGTACAACTTATTAATTATTAGTTTGAATTGTTTAGGTAAATACCGTAAATGTGGCCGGTCATGGTATGTATGTAAATATCGAGTGCTTTTTCACTAACTTTCAACGTTTGAAATGGACCCATGTTTTCAGGCGACGCTAGAAGTTATAAAGCCAGCAGACGAATCTGTGTTCCTCAACGCAGGCTTTCTTGGAATCTAGTTTTGCTATTCAATAAGTGGTAGTGTCGGTTTCAGGAGAAATTCAGCGCAACAGCCTCAAAATTGGGGACAGTCGACCATGTAACTTCGTACATACACAAACCATGTAAACACTGAGAGCAGGGCAATTTTCAGAAAGTTATTTACTGTTGGCTCTTTTTATTTACATACATTGCTGCGTATGTGTTTGTGGCTAAACTACGGATCCGTCTGAAAAATGGCATACTCAAAAAAAAAAGTTTGAAACTTAAAACATTTTGGAGGGGAGTGCATAATGTAGCCACTTCACAGAACCTCTTGTGCTGTCTTTTGAACTTTCCATTTAGTATTTTCAGCGTTTAGATATGTGTGACTTGGTAAAAATAGCTTGTCTTGACTTTGAAAAAATCGGACATACTAAATTGGCAGTTCTATTTTTATATTACGTTTACTACTAAATAATTGGTTCATATATGCTTCACTACATGTATAAATGTGTTGTACGTCATACATGCAAATATGGAGCTAATGGTGCAGTACAATTTTGTATTTCTAATTTTTGACTTTGCAAAAAGTACTGCATGCTCAAGTCAAAGAAAGCAATTAAGGCAAGTTTTCCAGGACAGTGTTTTAAGGATTCTTCAAATCCCATGCCAATCTTCTCAAATCTTTTCTACCTTGATTTCTGAATCTTTCTCTTCTTCGTCGCTTTGTATACAAACAAAAGTTTCAAGTGACGTTGTCGACTGTAATTGAAAAGGAGAACTTTTGCCTTTTTCACTGACTGACTAACTCAAGATAAAATTTAAGTGTTGGACTGGATGAAAAGACTCGAGTTGGAGAAAGCAGTCAGTCTCATGCCACACACCACACGACCAAGTGATAACTTTCTCTCAACAATTGTAGTAAATCTAGCATGTTATCCCCACATTATGGTGCAAGAAGAGGGACTGACTGTGAGGACTCGTATTTATAGAGTAACAAACTCTAAAGTCAGTCGTGGGAAGAGAAAAGCCCTGCAAACACAAAGATACTCCTCTCCAAAAGCATTCAATATATAAAACGGTCAACTGAAAAATAGCTCCTTTGCAAAACTTTGTGAAGGATGTAAAGTAGCAGCAGCACTCGAGTGGAGAAAGAAGCTCACCTTCGGATCTCGTGGAGCCAGCGTTTCGTTACTTTGGGTTGGTTTGAATGTAGGTTTGAACGTGTACCCAATCCAAAAAAATATTTAAATTCTATGAAAATGTGTTTATGATAAATGCTTTTGAATATGTGTACACAATGGAACTCTCCATATCATGAACTTTTTGAACTTGGTGACTTATTTATGCCAAGGTTGTGACTTTTGACTTGATGCATGTAGATTTTTCATACTATAGTATCATAATAACATACATGATTATGTTCATATTTTTTATTAACCTAACCATCGATAGAGTTAGTTGTCTACGAGTTGGAAGTTGGAGCGGTGAAAGTGAGGCTCCCCGCTTTTCTGATAGTGGGGGAGGAAGAGGATGACGGAGAAAGTGCACAAGAAGTGTCGTCCCATAATATTGGCAACTTTGACTCCTTTGCCAAAAACAAGAACAGAGCGAGAGAGACGAGACTTCATAATACGGGAATTTATCGGAGAAGACTGTTCGCTGGGACTGTGAATGGCTAATTTATGACCACAAATGAAAGCGGATTTCAAAGTGGCCCCAAGACTACGACACCAACCAACACAAGCCCAACCAACCTCTTTGATTATTTTGAACCTGATCCAATCCCTCCTAGCAATAATGTCAAAGGGATAAACGGGTATAGACGCATAACTAATTTATTGCTGGACTATTATATCTTTGCACGGCAATTATAATACACCATGGGTATTTTATATGGATTATCCATCCTGGGGAAATTGCAAGGTGTTCAACTGTTTGCAAATACTTCCAAGTACAGCACAACCAGAGTGTGTTAAAATTGTAATCACATTGACTCGGAAATTAGAGTATATAAACTTTAAGGTAGACCTAATCCGTAGTATCAGTTGCTAAACACATGACACATAGGCAAACGTATGTAAGTACGTAGTTCATCATCTTTCATATTTTTATACCATCGTACACTTCTTAGGATTCTGGAAGTCGACATGGTATTTTGTGGTTGCACAAACACATACTCGAATTACTTGTCGGTTTTGTTCAGCGTTGTTGATGGCTTTGCGATATAAAATTATTATTGTGTTGCGTCGAGACTTCCTTCCTGTTTTGGCCGAGCTAATGGTGGTGCTCTGATTATGGTACATATGCACTTTCTTCCCTTCTTTTCCCGTCCGTCTGCCTTCCCCTCCATTGTCTTTTGTTGGCAATGTTTCTGTGTTGTTAAGACAAGGCCACTGAATGACTGCCACCAGCTTTTGTTAAAAGAACTACTGCTATAATAGGAAGGCTACCACCACGAGTAGTGAATTATCTACTTTTTTCTGGGAATGAGCCATCATCATCATCATCGTCGCATTATTATTATTATCTATCCCTGCCTGCGGATGAAAGTTTTTTGGGAATTGTTTCAACTTTTATTCACTTATTTATTTGACAGGGATTGCTCATTAAGGAAATGAAAATGAAACGTGAGCCAGAATCAGGTTACTAGTTCATTACTATATTATTATCTGTCAAGAGTTTGCCTCGTTAATAATTGTGTCGTGTATAGTTGTCTTACAGGTTATTTTATCGAGCTGCTCTGGCCTTTGCATGTATATGGTTTTAATCCTGAGAGCACTTATCCTGATACTTACAACGACTATTTACTACAACCGTAGTAAGAAGAAGACGGAAGGCTGAAAATATCTCCAATTTCGAGTCTCATTTCTCTCTCTCCCCGAAAATTTATTCATGGACGAGCACTAATGAGATATTGGATCTGACTAATTATACGATCTGATGGTAGGAACTGGTCTCTGTTGCATATGCACATTCATCATTAATCCGATTAGGCAAATATACATATAGAGTCTCACAATGCGACAAAGTTTACGACTATGCTTCCAAAACTTACCTGTTCATGCCCACCCAATAAAATGAAATATGAGATAGTCTCATATTTCCCTCCGACACTGCTTCTCGGGACTGGAAGCACCATTTTCCTGTTGGGGCAAGGCGAGCAGGTTGTGTTGAAGGGAGGCGGCTGAGAGGCCCTCTATCGGTTTTCTGCCAAACTGCTCAGCTGGCCTGGATTTCATAGGAATGAAGTTGGCCCCCTGCAAAGGCCTCAGTTACGGCGCGTGAGGTGGGTCAAGTTCCCCGATTGTCTGTTGAGAAGGCGGCAAGGAGCCAGTCAAATCCTTTTCATCCCCGTGCTCAGCCCACCTACTCGTCTCTACCTCCGCTCCAATTTGGATTCTCGGAAATTTCAAAGTTTCTCGAAATTGAAATTTAGGTCAAGGTGTGGCTTGTGTGGAAACTGTTGGTCATCATCTTTTCATCATCGTAGGACTTTAAAACAACTGTTTTACGATAAACCCGTTGATAACAAAAAGAGGTAAGAGGATTCGGTTCGTTGTCCCAATTTTTACGCACGTACGTACGTCATAGGTCATCCATACATTTTGCGACTTTTTGAAACCCAGACATGACGCATCATGAAACTGGTTTTTTAAAGCAATTTGGAAAGCATGCCAGATGCAAGGTTATAATGGTTAATTAATTGCGTAAATCAATTGTAATTTAATCCACGTAATACATCCTAAATAAGTATGTAATTTACTGATCGATTGATTGATTGACATTTTAATCAGTCTCCATAAGCACATTTTATAAAGTTGTATGGACAAGATAGAGCTTTTGAGAAATTTTGTAATTGGGAGTGTATATTTATTTCTCTCAATTTTCAGAAAATTCAAGTTCATCTTAGAAGATCTTAAGAGGTTCTGTTCTTTATATATCATTCGGCCAACGGCTCTTCTGAGAAAATGCCTTCCGACGCAAAGAAGAAACGCGATTTGGCCAAGAAACAGGCCGCAAAGACGAAAGGAGGTAAACCAAAATCGGTTGAAAATGGAGACGACCAAGGGCAAGAAACTCCACAAACCAATGGTCATTCGATGACGAACGGAAATGGAGAAACCAACGGGGCTGGGGATACCAATGGTGACATTGACGACGTTGTTAAACGAGAAGGTATTTAGTAATGATTAGTAATGTAATTTAGTTTATTCGTTTTATCACGTTAACGAAATAATCGACCAATCTTTCCATTTGATGCATTTTATTAGAATTGCTTTGTCAAAAGCTGGAGAAAGAGGCAAGGTTGAATTCGGAAGCCAGGGCTTGTACAGGTACATTTTTATACAATTAAAAGTTGCTATATATGAGTGTAGAGTTGTAGAGTGTTCAAATTATATATTTTACTAATTATTTATTTAGGGAACTTCGCACTGCACCCGAAGTCGCGAGACGTAATTCACAAACGAAACAATGAAATAACTCAGCAAAATAACTTTCTGTACGTTTTTTTATTCGTTTTTTGTTTCCTGTAGATCAAGATAGACATGTTGTCTATTACTTTCTATGGCCGAGAAATCCTTGTAGATACAAAGCTGGAATTGAATTGTACAAGGCGATATGGATTAGTGGGTGCAAACGGAAGTGGCAAGAGTACTCTGTTAGCTGTTGTGGGGAATCGAGAAGTTCCTGTTCCGGATCATATTGATATTTTCTTGGTAAGATGGATAATTTTATATATAGATATTATGTTATTGCAAGATACATGTAACACATTAAACAACCTATCTCCGGAAATAGGTCGATCGTGAAATGCCAGCAACGGATAAGACAGGTAATCTTTATATTTTTATTTTATTTGCATGACTTCATTTGCGATAAATACATAAATATATGCTTTTTATTTTATTTTCAGCCTTACAGTGCGTCATGGAGGTCGATGCCGAGCGAGTTAGGCTAGAAACTTTGGCAGAGAGTTTGGTGGCTTGTGAAGATGATGGTATAACTAGATACTAGCATATGAAATCTTTGAATTTTTGTAGTCTTAATAACTAAAATCTTGTATTATTTATTAGAATCTCAAGAGCAACTTATGGACGTTTACGAAAGATTGGATGAAATATCTGCGGATACTGCAGAAGTAAGATCACAAATAAATAAGTCAACGGAAAATTGAAAACACAAAGTAGTTGATATCAATTCGTCCTTGTTTTCTGTTTAGGTACGTGCAGCGTACATATTGAACGGTTTGGGATTCACCCATGCTATGCAGAATAAGAAATGCAAAGATTTCAGCGGAGGTTGGAGAATGCGAATAGCTCTAGCACGCGCGCTGTATCTAAAACCAAGTTTGCTCCTATTGGGTATTCATGAACTTTAAATTTTTCCAACTTTAGACGCTGCAGTAAATGTGGACACAGATAAATAGGTTATGTTTGTTTTGCTTTGTGAAGATGAACCAACTAATCACCTTGATTTGGATGCCTGTGTGTGGCTGGAAGAGGAATTGTCGAAGTATAAGCGAATGTTGGTTCGTAATTGCATATTTTATCGTACTCTCCTCTTATTCTTTAGTTTTTACAAATATCACAAATTCAATCAATTGCAGGTGATCATTTCCCATTCTCAAGATTTCATGAATGGCGTTTGTACCAATATTATTCACTTGGAGAAGCAAATGTTGAAACCTTATACGGGGAACTACGATTCTTTTGTGAAGGCGAGGTCGGAATTGTTGGAAAACCAGATGAAACAATACAACTGGGAACAACAACAAATCGACCATATGAAAGTAAGATAAAAACTACTTGTGTATAATTTCACTATGTAATAATGAATACTACTATAATGATGATAAAAGGCCGATATGAATAATTTCACTTTGAAAAATAAAAGTCGTGGCATTTCTAATGGATCATCCTCCAACTGGCAGAGTGTCGAGTTACGCTTTTATGCTGTGACTCCATTCGCTAGTAATTAGCATGTATTCGCCGAAATGCTTGATGATTATTTTTCTAAATGTTGAATTAATTGTGATTTCAATTGGTGAAGCGTTTTTCTGATGCCATATGTTGTTGCTTAAAAACAAGTAATTGTTAAGACAAAGTCGTAGTAGTGTTTATTTATGAAAATTTCTTCAGAAAAAGTAAATTGAAAGTTGACTTGACTATTTTTAGAACTACATCGCAAGATTCGGTCACGGAAGCGCAAAGCTGGCTAGGCAGGCACAGAGTAAGGAAAAAACCCTTGCAAAAATGGTTGCTGGAGGATTGGCTGTAAGTATGATGGATTCACATTACAAGAAAATCATAGATAAGGAAATTCTATTTTACTTAAATGGTTTATTTTGTTGGTAACAGGAGAAAGTTGTCGCTGACAAGACTCTGTCATTCTCGTTTCCTTCGTGTGGAACGATTCCACCACCAGTTATTATGGTGCAAAATGTTAGCTTCCGTTATAAGGAAGGGACACCTTGGATTTATCGTAAGTTTTTTATTCCTAACAAACCTACTTTGTTCTACTTTCTCCATAGAGTACTTTCTCATACATATTCTACAAAACGACGAGATTAATGAGCTCACATTTACTTGATTTTTTTTCTTATAGGCAATTTGGAATTCGGTATCGATCTCGATACACGGATCGCACTCGTAGGCCCAAATGGTGCCGGTAAGTAGAGATATAGAGAAAGTGAGCATATTGCTATATAAATTGTAATTTAACTTGCTATTCTACAGGGAAAAGTACATTGTTGAAGATGATTTTTGGTAAGTTCTGCAATTCTAAAAATAAAAATAAATAGCAAAATTGCTATTTTTATTTCCTTGTGTGTAATGTGCTTGTTTGATTTCTTATTTTAGGGGAACTCCATCCCACTTCTGGTATGGTCTCAACCATTCTAACAAATATATAGAAATATTCGTTCATTCATACTATAAGATTTCATTTAATTATTTGTAGGTATGATTCGACGGAATTCGCATCTACGATTTGGGCGATACCATCAGCATCTTCACGAGTTACTGGATATGGACATGACGCCTTTGGATTATATGATGAAGTGTTTTCCTGACGTGAAGGAGGTGGAAGAGATGCGAAGAATTATAGGACGGTATGGGTTATCGGGAAAGCAACAGGTAAGGTCAATTAGGAATTATGTATTTAATAACAGTAGTACAGAGGTTTCACATTGTCGTTAACTTTGTCATATTTACATTACTTAACACAAAGTTCTGTTCTATAATTGCAGGTCAGCCCCATGCGACAACTGTCTGATGGACAACGTTGCCGAGTTGTATTTGCGTGGGTAGGTTACAGAAAAAGTTTAAATTTGTCCCTCCTGCTAATTATGGCCTAATGATCTATTATTTCTATTTCTTCTTTAGTTATCTTGGCAAGTACCACATTTATTGCTGTAAGTGGAGGATATGTCAACAATACATATGCAATACATTCACTCGATAATACATACTTGTTTTTTGCAGGCTGGATGAACCTACAAATCACCTCGACATAGAAACGATTGATTCGCTCGCGGACGCTATAAATGATTTTGATGGGGGTATGGTCCTAGTGTCCCACGACTTCCGATTGATTTCTCAGGTACACATAAATTTGTCATGAATAAAAAAATATAACAATGCTCAAAAACTCTGTTCAAACATTGCGGTATTCTTGTAGGTTGCTGAGGAAATATGGGTATGTGAAAATGAAACGGTGACCAAATGGCCGGGTGATATTCTGTCATATAAGGCTCATTTGAAGAGCAAAATCGTGAAAGATGACCAGGATGAACCCGTAAATAAACCCAAGAAAATTACCACCACCAACAAGAAGAAAGTTAAATAACGAAAGTAGAAATAAGTGCGCAATTACTCGTTATTATTATTATTATATAAGATGAAACGATGCGAAACTTTAATTCTTGATTTAATACTAATTCTTGGGGAATTACATGGTTGTTTTATGGAAAGCGCTAACGAAAATCTAGATTTTTTTCATCATGCATCTTAAAATTAATTACGAAACCCATCACCGGACACTTGTTCTCTTGGCGCGCGAGTAGTAGTAGTAGTTCATGAATATGGCAAATTGCATTATGTCTTATTTCGATTATTTCTGACTTGAGGTCATTCCGATGAAATGCTAATTTGTGCATAGCCTATTAAAGCCTTTTCATCGGGTGTTTCATTCGAAAGGCAACCAGAGTTCTGAAATAGAGAAATTTTTAGTTTGAATGAGTGATACACATAGGTGCAATTGGCATAATACAAATTAATTTAGGGAACGATTCTTTCTTACCAATGTAAAGGTAATATTTTTCATTTGATCCCGCTTTTCTATGAGCTTTTCAAGGTTAGCAGAAATTGCATTCATATCTTTACTGAAAATAAGAAAGAAAATGTTTTTAAAAACGGTCTCAGGTGTACCATGCATACATATGCATATATTAAACAAAGAGTCAACAAACAAATAATCTAATGTCCTCCTTAGTTCACTTACGCTTCGACTAGACCAGCTCCCACCAGTTCTGACGCTATCCCTTCCGCAGAGTCCTTCCCCGGCAGATACTCGAATCGGATATCGTTCAATTCACGTTTCGCGTTCCTAGTAATATTATTTATCATCGTGAGAAGAAATATACTGTGGAAATACAGGGCTGATGACGATTCATAACTGCTTACCTCATTCGTAGTACAAGGTTAACGGTCGCATTAGAAAGTCCAACACTATCAACGTTGACTTGACCGACTGCTGAAGGGCTTTCGTTATTTGTCTTCGTTGTCTCAGACGACGTAGCCTCACTATCACCACGACTTTTCTCTGTAGCATCAGTTGGTGCTGTAATAGTATCACCTGGTAAATCGGTACTCGATATGGTTGCAGAGGAATGCCTCCTGACAGTTTTGGCTGGATTTTCAGTCCCGTCTTGCTCATCATCATCACTGGACCACACCCATTCACCACTCAGAGTTCTATGCAGTTTTCCGCTTGCTCCAGGCTGCTTTTTCACTGATTTTGGAACTCTAACCTCAGGAGTGGACCCGGTCATAAGCAGTGTTTGTTGCAAATACTTTTTGTCTTTTGACAAGCATTTTTATTTATTTAAATACAGTTTTTTACTTAGAGTTTTTTGATGTTGAATACCTTTTGCTTTCTTGAAGAAGGGATGTTTTAACAGCTCCGCCGCAGTTGGTCTCTTGGCTGGATCCTTGCTGTAAACGATAATTAATTGTATATATATAATCATATCCTGGTTTCTTAAAAGATAAATTATTTTATTTCAAGTGATAATAAAATAACTGCACAACATTAGCAATAATTAATAATAATAATGCTAGTTGATTTACCTGAGACAGTCGGCAATCATTTTTCTTATTGTTCTTCCATAATTTTTGTATTGGTCTTTATCCTCTGCTCCTGTTTCTATTGTCGGCGGGTCATTTTGTAAGGTCAGCATTAACACTTTCATAGGTGGGTACTTATGGTATGGGGCAGTTCCTGTCACCATTTCTATTGCTGTGATCCCAAAGGACTTGAAACAAGCAACGTATTATACAAATATTGCAAGTTTAACGCGTTATATATTAATTTACTTGTATATGTCGGCTAATACATATGCAACTTACCCAAATATCTGCTTTAAAATCGTATCCGTGGTCCTGTTCTAAAACTTCGACAGCCATCCAGCACGCTAATTTAAAAAAAAAACAACTAAAATAAAGTATTTACAACTTTTACTTAGTCTTTAATGTTGTTATTACTTACGTGTCCCCACAAAAGTGTGCCGTACTTTCTGTCGTGATAAGTCACCTCCGGTCGCTAGCCAAGCTGATACCCCAAAGTCGGCAATCTGAACAGTCCCATCTTACATACAACGAATTCGAATTACTAGATGTTTTTTCGTCAAATCAATGCCAAAAATATAAGGGAAACGTTTCCCGTACCACTTGAGTAATAGTAGAATAACTCACCCTCTCCAATGAGAATATTCCCGGCCTTGATATCCCTGTGAATTTGCCCGTTGGCTGCGTGATTAATTATTGAGTTACATTAGATTTCCATCGCTGAATATAATAATGTGGAATAAAATGTTTTACTTACAATGGAAATATTCTAATCCCTTGAGTACCTCCTTCAATACGGTAGCAATGGTAGGCTCGTCAAATACTCCATTTTTACTATCAGGTTGCTTCATCCGATGTTTTATTATGTCCAGAAGGGAACCACCCTCTAACAACTTGAGGACTAACCACAACTCTTCCTTTACGACAAAGGAGGTGTAGTACGTGACCACATTCTCGTGGTTGCATGATGACATTGCATGGATTTCTTTCTGTTCGAGAAAAAACACCAATATAATTTTAAAACTATCAATATCTATCCATGAACTAGAATATGCAGTCACGCCCAACTACCGCACAACTGTATGCATATGGTCCAATTTGACTCACCAACAATTCCTCCATTGAAGTGTTCCATTTTTCTAAATTGATCCGTTTTATTGCGCACTTTTCTTGTCGGGGAATGCACAAAGCTTTGTGAACCACAGCGGTCGCCCCCACCCCTGCAAAGGTACATTTAATAATCCGTTTAGTTAATTACTTATCCAATGGTGCACTAAGCAATAAGCATGATGTTTCTCAATGCTCATTAGTAAGAGGTGCTAAATGGACGTAATGTTAATGAGGATGTCCGGCTAAAACTAGCCACTTGCTGCTGCTGCTACACTGAAATATGGATGGGTGTGTGGGGGAAGAGGACGTACCGATGACCTCTCTGAGCTCGTAGTCCTCCTTGATGTTGGACCAAGGGGTTTGCACCGCGGGAGGGATGTCCGCGGCCATTTTTGAGAGACTGGTGGGGTCGGAGGATCCTTCTTGCGCCGCGTTGTTGATATCTCCGTCTCCTCTCTGGCCACTTTGCGCTCTCCCGCCACTGCTGCCACCAACAAGCCCCGACCCTCCCGACTTGCGAAAACGAGGTGTCGACTCCTCCTCTCCATTGTTAATATTATTCGACGACGATGACGAAGATCCCGGCGTTAAGAGTGGGGGCAGGTGGTCACTAGCAGATGTGCGACGAAATGTCCCAGGTGATCCTGCCAGGTGAATTAAAATGTTAGAATGACTTCACAACATATTGCACATATTATATTGAGATTAGTTGTGTTGAGGTAGAGAATTCATAAATTTAGAAATTTGTTGATGTTACTTTTCAAAAATTATTTAGTTGTACAGGAAAGTATTTTCATAAAGAAATATCCCATTCTGTCATGGGAAAAAATTGAGACAAGAAAACAATAGTGCATAAATATTCATTACCTGGTGCTGCAAGGCCGGGAGAAATTTTTCTGAAAAAAGAGCAAGAAATATAATAATTATGATGATCTTACAATTAGGAAAATTTGCAACTATTGTGAGGAGGAGGCGATGAGGACGGTAGGATTTTAGATTTTTATAGGAACTTTCGTTCGTACATCCAAATATATGTATTTTTTAGGAGATATGAGAAAACTTGAGACTTCTCGCTCTCTCCTCGGTAATCTCACTTAGGATAAACGGTGAAATACAGGCAAGACTTTCTTCAAACAACAAAATCTCTCTCCACTTTGTCGACCCCAATCTTATGTGGTCATTTTTACCTGACTGCGTATATGCTGGGATTATAAGCTCCTGTCGGAACAGTTGTTCGAAACTTATTGATGCGCTTAGAAGCCATTTAAACTAGTACTCAAATTTCACTCGGCTCACAACACGGCAGCTTTGGAGTTTTGTTACAATATTGTCAGATTCTAACTTCAATATTTTCTGTCCTGATTGATAAAATCGAGTTGGTATTTCTTCAGTTATTAGAATATCTATGCAATGTGGGGACCTCGTTTAACGATACTTTTGTGAATTATGGCAAACAAAGCTTTAATTATTCTCCCATAAAATATTGTACTAAAAATAAATAGATGATATTATATGGCATATAAATATTTTTAAGGATAAATTTACTACTTTATCTTCATTAGATGATGCGTTGTAAAATTAAAAAGGAAAATGGTGATTGTCATATATGGAGGTAAGTATATTGGGATTTTATTGTCTATCTATAGATTATAGTGTATGCATGTCTATATGCTGAAATAGGAACGTGATTTCGCAAATCTAGTATCATAATAATTACACCTGGAATGCACAATATTTGGTATGGCTGACATGGAATTTTCCTCTTGTTCCAAAATTTTAAATTTGTCACTATATTTGAATATATATTTTAAATACTTCAATTTTTTTATGTTACGGCTATGATAAGTTTTCATTCGTCCTATTACAGTCGTCGCAATATAGGATTTCATTCCTCAGGTTGTGGTATTTAAACTAATAGTCACTCATCCTCAGCCTTACCAGGAACAGGGCATAAATTCTTAATACCGACATTTTCAATTATCTTTTCAACATTACATAAATAATGAAAAATCTTAATGGATAATAAAACGGGCCCAGAAAATTATTTCTGGGCACGTTCCTCGTCCTCCCTACATTTGTTAGACGTGTATCAATGAACAAATATTGTATCCTGAGCTGGGTGACGCTGCTTCAGTAGATTCACCTTGAATTACGTGATCGCCAATATTAGATAATAAAAAATAAATTTTCATACCTGCTGGATGAAAACTTCATCGGGTTACCGATTCTGTTACTAGACGAGCTCATTCTTCTGTTAGCTTTGCACTTGTGGGCAATTTAAAATTTTTGAAAAAATCACTTATACCTACAGTTTTGTAAAAATTGTAGTACTAAAAAATTGTGCAACAGAGTATGAAAATATGAAAGGTTTTGAAATATTATCATACAAAAATATAATACTGAATGCGGTAAGAGACGCGCAAGTGCAGGATGTGATTATCAATACATGACGATCACAATGACAAATTGAACCTGATTTCCCTGCTTTATCGAGTGATATTTGTTTAATGGCGTTTTGGTGGATTTGGTTTGTGATGAAAAACACGAAGCAGGAGCAGAATTATTGTTATTAGTATTATGATTATTATATGTAGGTATCCGTCGTCAGCACAGAAGCAAGAGAGCTGCCAACTATCAAGGAACAGTTATCTGAAATCCCCTGCGTTATGTGATGATGAGAATGAGCATGACGATGAGTGTCACGTTGACTCAACCGATCGAGATTATAATAAAACGCGACACATTTTGGCGATATGTTATTTGAATTTATTATTTTGTCCCAGGCATACCAATAATCAACCAAAATGCACTTTAACATTCATGTAGTTGAAGTGTTATACAATGGTTATACGTAAGTATGTACATACGCTGGTAATGATTTTTCATTCCCTATTCAATTTAACAGTCAATCCATTGTTATCAAAAGCAAATTGTTTTGCGTATATGTAGAGAGACAGTTGAAACCAGTAGCGTTAGGTGAAAAGTTTTTCGTAAACAACAATTTAATGAGGACGACAAAAATTTATTACAAATTATACTGGTTTATTCATTATGTACATATTTTACAATGTCATTCTCGTCCTATAAGAATACAATTTATTGTGTACTGGTCACTAATAAACACAATGGAGCACAAATGTAAAGTTCAGAATTTAATTTTATTAAAGTGTATAAAATTGTCAGTTAAGTATCAATGACCACAGCGTATTAATAATATGCAAATGTACCGCTACAAAAACCATGCATTAAGATTTTAATTTTAAGGCATTTCTCATTTCATAGTCTTCATAATGATTAAATCCAGGATTATCCATCCCCGAAAGACTCCTTCCATTCTGATGTCCATTTTCTTCTGCTTTCGGAGTCTGAGCACCGTTTCCGTTGCTAAAATTTCGTGGTTTCTAAAAGTAAAAATTTTAATTAGTTTTGGTGTACTTTTTGCCTAACTAATTAAGTCAAATCGCTGATTAAACATAAGGATTCACTTTGATTGCAGATCCCAAGTCCCACTGAAAACTCTCAGGGAGAAAGTTTCGCATAAGCCTATCCATAGGTGGGCTAATAAGGTGAGGATCCTATTTTATATAGGGAAAATAAATACGCATGTAAATTTCATAAACAAATTGACGTATGCACTTCCGTCCAAATTGTCTAAATTGTGTAAAAATTCTAAAGGAAAATTTTATCAGGAAAAAATAAATACTGATGAAAATTTTGTAAATAAATTGTATGTAAGTACTTCCGGTCAAATTTTCAAAATTGTTCAAAATTTGCGAGAGAAACGTACCAGTGTTCGTGGGTCTCTCTTTCCAGTTAAAAAAGAAACTAGCAATCCAATCACGATCGTGATTGAGCATCCAATCAATGAATACCTGCAATAATTTGCATCATCAAATATTTTCCCGTCATTATTCTGCATTAATCGCTACCTACCACATGTAGGAAATTCGATAAAATTCCAGCAGTCCTCCGCTGTACGAAATAAAATGTAATCAGTCATAAATGTTAACTACACGATGTAACCCAAAAGTAATTTATTTATTAACCGGGGTAACCTCACCTTTCTCCCGAACTCGTCAGGGGGAGAGTAAAATTGCCGTGCTTACATCCCGAGACACTGATATCCAACTTGGGCGTCACAATTTGTTTGTTTGCAATCGCCATATTTGCACCCACGCCCAACCAAACCATAAATGCGAGGGCTGTAACCGTCCCTGTAAAAGCCCCCTTCGAAGAAGCCCAAGGGAAAAACATGCCCAATGTGAAGACCCCAAGTAGAGGCCCCCCAATGATACCAAAAATCGATAGGGCTAAAGGGATTCATCATCATCCATGCATTATTACGACATGTACTTTAGGACCAATAAATTTGACTATGGACCTGCTTGAAGAATTCCACCTAACTGTTGAGCAACGAATACCAATCCTATCAAGTTAACGCAAATATATACAGCTTAATAATCAATATTGCAAGATTATACAATTCAAATTTTCATACGGAGGATATAACAAATTTTACCGAAAGAAATGAGCCCGTACATCACAGCCAAGCCTTTGCTAACGGTTGTGGCTGGGTGAACAAAGGAAAATCAAATTAAATATTCAAATCCTCATCAGTGTTATTGATATTCCAACAAAAGGTTAAGCAATTAACCTGGGGGCGAGGATGTTTAAAAATAACATATTCTACATGTGTACCTCTTGTTTCAGTCATGTTTGGATAGAAATGTCGAGCAAAATCCTCCAATGTGATTGCAGCCAAGCTGTTTAGCCCACTTGATACCGTACTGCGTAATACTTAGTATTGTATTGTGATCGATTTAGAAACGCAGAGTTTAGAATAAATTTCTACAAAAATCATGGGTACCTTAGGGCACCCGAAAAAATTTACCTGAGGGCTCCCGAAAAAATTCCAGCCACAAACAGCCTATTTAAACACAGTTTGATGTATTTTTACAGAATACGGAATGTGACGTCAGTGAAAGTTATTTGGTTTACCCTGGTAGACCCGGAATTGACCCCAATGTATCCATTACATACAGAGGAAATAATTGATCTGGAGTTTTCACTCGCTAGTTTCCCATGAATAAACAAGTAATGAAAATACATGCATATGTTATGATTCAATTAATGCCAAACCAAACTTCAGTATGTAAAACAAATTGCATTGCATACATTTGATATCAACGGGTCGCAGTCGGCATAACGGGCATAAATTACAAGTCCGGCGTAACAGCAGATGGTTAACAGGCCAAAAAGCCCGAAGAAATTCATCCAAATGGCACTGAAATAAATGACAAATGGTTACACAGATTCTCACAATGCAGTTCTTTCGATTCTCGTAAAGTCATTTTCCTGGCGTAAATACATACTTTTGAGCCTGTCTCATCGTGGGAACAGTGAGATAACGTTGAACCTGAAATAATAGTCGACATAAAATTTTGAAAATACATGAATTGAGAATAACCCCAATTCTCTATTAACCTGAGCTTGGTTGACTCCATAAACAGCAATCCAAGTAAAATAACCTCCTATTTTCAAATAGTGATTAATAAACTCTCCAACCGACGGGACGATCAATCCAATCAACGGGATATTTCCAAAACAATTACAGTTATTACCAATGCAAAGACTCCAAACAGTATGGCGAGTTCGTGGGTCAAGGTCAAAGCTAAATAGAAATCAGAAATATGTTCATTTTTATACACATATTAGATTATAAAGTAGGAACATTTCAGTTGGAATATCAAACATATTCGAAAGAGGGAAATATGCATTACACACTTGAAGAATTCAATCCTTTGTCCCTCATTCGAAATACTCCACACATTCGCAAAGCCACCCAAGTCATACGATCCTTTAATTACAACTGCAAGCATTGCACCAAACCTGTAATTAATGCAAAAATATAAATATAACAATCAATCGGGTAGGATTAGTAAAACATTTGACTAATCGGAATCCTAAGACTTACATGATAATTGTTTGAATGACATCGGTCCACATCACAGCTTTCATGAAAAAAGTATATTTATTTATTATTATACGTTATTGTTATACATAATAATATACATGAATATATTGTAAAGAAATCTCATGCTTATATTGACCTTTCATGCCTCCCAAAGCCGTATAGAAAATTACAATAGCAAAAATTGCTGTGACACATCCATATAAGTTTAATCCAGTAACTGTTTCAATAAGTATTATAAAAATAAGTATGATTTATATCATAATTTAGTACGTTTCACTTATTGCCTTAAGTTCAAAGCTCTACTTACCTTGACTCAATGCGAGGGCTGGAGCATATACCACTAGAAAACATTTTTTTATGAAATTCACATTGACTTTTGAATACACACTTTTTAAGGTTATGTCTCACCTATAGACATGTAGATTGTCTAAAGTTTTTAAGGAAAATTAGATTGTTAAGATCATATTATTTCATATGCGGTATTTACATATCATAATTATAATCTATCATCTTTGTTGAGCATTAATTAATTGACAGTAATAACATGAAAAGGACAGGGAGCAACGTAAATTGCGCAACATGGCACGTATGTACATAGGTCCACAAATATATAGGTACATCTGTGAATCACAGACTGTGATGTGCTTATACAAACTTATTCATAAGTCTCACTTGAAGGAAAATCAAGTGCTTCAGATGAAATTATAAAATCATTCATTTTTAATTTCCAATTTTAAGTAGCACAATTTTCTTACCATCTGAGTTGTAAATATTGCTGATCCCAACATTCTGACAGGTTTTGAAAATCTCAGCTCCAAGTACTGTAAGATGCAAATATTTTTAGTTTATTTGCGTGAGCATAATAATGTCGATCATTTCAATAGCCAATTAAATTATCAACTTCGCAACATTTTTTTTAACCAAAAGTAAATGGATATATGTAGCGGTTTTCAGCAGCTGCGCTTTGATAAAACCGGTCTGATCAGTTAAAACTATTAAATAATTCAAGTTTAAAATCCCATCGTTTATAAAAGAAAATATTTTTAATTCGGATAAAAAATAAAGCCCATTAATGTGAATCGGTCAAATTTAAATGCCGTTCGGGGTATGCGGCTGAAATTTCGGGCACCACATTAGCATCCCTATTGACGGAAATTGTCATCAGTACTGCTACCACTCATTTTTAAGCATTGGTCATTTTTACATAAGAAACATATGTACGTTGACACTTTTACCTCGTAGGCGGACGTCACTTGGAGATTATAGAATACTGGCAAGTACAAATAGGCAGCACTCGCCATGACGACGACGTACGAAGGTCCTATCATCCAATATAGCGTTCCTGCTCGCAAACAACATGACCATGTACATAATTATTGTCCATATTGACACGCAAGGTCATAAAATTCTAACCTTTGGAATAAACTTCGGCCGGGGTGCCTAGTAAAGTTATTGCGCTCATGAAACTGTAAACAAGAAGAAAGTATGCATAAATTAAATGCATTTTAATGCAAGTGCGATAAACTGTCTAATTTTTCCAAATGAAACCCTTGTTATTTTTAATGTTGACCATTTACGCTGCATGCGACGAGTATATAGGATCTACATATGAAGTGCAAAAACGATGTGCAAAAATATATGTCTTTGTTTAATTAATTAGATTACATTTGAGTTACTTTCAATGTTATATATGTAAAGTCCTTGCGCCACCCATGCATACATGAATTAAGACTTTTGGAAATATTTGGATGGCATTATTTTTATACAATATTTTGGCAAAATATTTGATATATGCGTAGTTCATGATTTTTTTTACTTTGAAAGTCAAAGTCAAATGAGTTTTTTCAGCCAGAGGCAGGAAGAAGTAAATTGCATATGAAAAACAAGGCTAGATCATAAATGGACAAAAATAATGTTTATCGTATTTGTAAATAAATTTATAAAATCGCTTCATCCTTAACTTATCACTTCATAGTTTGAAATTATACTATTTCATTAATTAAAAAAACGTAGCCTGTCCTAATTCAAGGTTAGTTTCCAGCTTCTCCAGATTATAACACGCAATCCATTGTGAAGTTGTTGGGTTTGCATTGAAAGTATGACATGTACGTGAACGCGTAATGAATGTCAAGAATGAAATTTATAAGCAATGTTGGCATATGTCACTCAAATTAATTAAATTATGGTTTAAATATTCGCTATGATAATGAACCTATTTACTCTTAGCATTGCCGAATATGTAATTTTGGAATAAGCCTGTACAGGATATCATGAATTGGTTTCTGAATTAATTTAAATCCTCTTTCCATTACAATAACCAGTTCTATGTAATCTCAACAAGTCTCAGAGAAGACATTTTTTGCAAAAAACCAGTATGGTTCTACAAATACATACATTTGATATAGTTAAAATCAGGAATTCATGGATCGTAGACGACGACGGACCATGGCTCGTGCAAAAAAAGTATAGTTCATGAAACAATGGTAATTGGTTCAAACGATTGTCGTATACATGTAAATAAAATATGTATGCACGCTCATAAATATATAGTAATGCCAAGGGGTGAGTGGGATCAGGCCAGGCATCTCGTCGACGTGTACCTGGTTAACCTTGGACACACATATTGTGGGTGGATTGCACAGAAATATTTATGGAATATTTCTTATGCAACCCATATACATATATAAATAAATAAATATTAGATAAATGCAGATTTGAATATTTCTTGCCTGGCTATTAAGGACATCGAAACGGGGAACGTGCCCATATTTCTGCCAGCCATTAAAAATTCGCTAGTTGTCTTCTGCTTCGCCCCAAAACATCCAAACATGATTCCGATTCCTGCAGAGATTCCAAGCATGAGAATGAACACCAGATAATCTGGCCAACCAAAGAGCTCGGACAAATTTTGCGTGATCACTTCCACTGTTCCGTTTCCGTTAGCCATTGCGATAGTTATAATTTTTTACTGATAATTTTATACAGATTTTTTTTAAAAGCTCCAAATTTGGAATCCTAATATTTTTTGGAATCAAAACCTCAATGCTAAAATCTTGAACAAACACACATTGAACGTTAAAAACACCACTTCACATTAGGTGTGATGTACATAAATTGGTAGATAATAGACATGATAGACAGATTGACACAGTGCTGACGCTGGAAAAAAAAGCACGAACGTATTTATGTATGTATAATGGGGTTAATCGTGCTATGAATAATGAAACACTATTTTGTATCAACTTATTTTCTTAGTTCAGGTGTAATTTTTCAAGATCAGACAAAATTGTTTCGAACTGCAGTCAACCGGAATACTAAATTATATAGCACTTATAAAACAATACAACAAAATGTAGCAATAAAAATTATGATAATGGGGTAATAATTTAGATAATATTCTTATTATTGATTCCTGGTGGTTACAGTCCCGCATGCAAACTACTATAAGCTATTAATTAACAAAGCATCCAATATATATGCCATTTTCATAGTATAAAAGAAGAATAATAGTTCATCAAATGGATGTTGTCGGCAACAATAAGATGTATACTTGCTACTCGCAAGCACTGCAATACAACATAATTTTAGTTGAGTTGGTTATGTAAGCAGACAATGGAACGTAACAAAAGTAAATATAAGTATACAGACTCTGGTCTCGCAGGTTTTGCATTGAATGTTCTTCGTAATATGCGACAGACAACGCAAACTACATAAAACTACATATATGTACATATGCATGTATGATATACGTACATATACCATCTGTACATAGAAATAGAAGCCACAAGTGGAATGGATGGATGAGGACATGACTGGTCCGATGGCTTTGGCAAGTTTCAAGCTTTGGACCAGGTTTCTCATTGTTATTGCAAACCATTGAAGCGTTTCTAAATACCTGACTTTTTCCTGCCACAAGAAGTATTCCCTACGTACTGAGGATGAGTATTATTCCACTCACCACTTGTCAGACAAGGAAGCTATCATGGTATTTTTGTTGTTAAGTATACATTTTGCAATTGAAAAGTCTTTTGGCTCGACTCAAATTTACCCTTAGCAATTCTATTTATTATGTGTTAAGCAGCCTATCAGCATTGTCTCAATTTTGTAGACATGCTAGTTTTATAGAAAAAATGCGGATCAGAATAGTTGATAGTGGAGACAATATGGGAGACAACTAGATATGTAACCATTCATGGTGTTGACCAGATAGCCTGAGCCAGGACTAATGTCATCACCATGTCCGTATTTCTGTCTGTTCTTCTGTGACAGGCTAACGGTAACTTTGACCGACCAATATAGTGTTAAAATTGGTATTTCTATATACAACGCCATGGATAAATTCGAAGACATGAACGCCAAGGTTGACCGGTGGCGGTCATTTAAGTTCGGAAGGTAAATAGCACAGAATTTTATAAGTAAATTGTCGTAGAGAAATGAAATTTGGCAAGCATATGCATGTCTGAACAAAGAATATGAAGTCAAATTCAGGAGTATTTTTGGTAGAGAGTGATCCACACTGTTTTTTGAAATTAATCGGATAAGTTAAAATTGTACAGGGATATGGATGGAAAAATTGGCACACGATAACTATACTTTTGTAAAATATTTGTATAAACCTGTCCTCGGGCTATACCAAGTCTGCACTGAATTTTTTTTATTACATAATGTAGAGTTTTGTCGTCATTTTTCCTCGTCTGAGAAATTACATTTCTAACACATGTGTACTCTAAATGTACAAGGAAATTTTGTTCAAATTTTTTTGCATGTCACACTAGCCATGTTTTGATAGCCAAACGGGAAAGTGAGTTTCCAGCATGTACTTACGTATGCAAATGAAAAAAGACATGAAAAAGATGAGTTTAGCATCCTACGTTGTTAAAATAATGAGGATTTCAATAAACGAAATAGCTTAAAGTGCTGCCATACTAATGATGTATTCTAAGGATGTTCAATTTTGTAAAATAGCAGACTACTTAGGACACTCCTTAGTTTGAGCCTTTTTGAAAAAGAAATCAAACTCGTTGATGTTGATCAATTTAAAATAATCTGTAATACGGTAGATTCGAGTAGAGAAAAGAACCTTATTATTACTGATTAGCTGGTTCATTGTATTATGTTATGAATGAAAACAGAAGGCCATTACGACACGCACTCTCCTCCTACGTAAGTAGTTCTTGTTTTTGGAAATTCTGCTTTATTTAGATTGTGAGAGAATAAAGTACTGCACTTCAGAACCAATTCCTCCTACATGATACAGTCTACATAGTTCTACATAATAATTGATATCCTTCGGAATAGGTATGAGCTCATGTAATAAGAAGACGAGAGACATGATTCAATGAAAAATAAATGTATCAATCTCGAGTGAGTGAGGACAGAGAAATAAAAAAAACAATAAATTATAAATGCAATAAAGTTGTTGGGAAGCAAGCGACGACTCATTTATTCTGTTTTTAGATACATTACCAAGATTACCTTATACCTAATCTGAAGTCTGCTAATAATAATTTTACTTCAACGAGATGCCCGGATAACAGTAATCCTTTTTCAGAAGCATCGCGCCTCTTCTCATGTTCTCTATAGATTTGAAACAGTAGTAAGTATGTAAATATGTAGGTATTAGTAGTTCCACAGGCAACTGTTGCTTATTCTTACCTTGGCATTAGCAAAAATTCGAAAATTATTCAGAGAAAGAGGAATCTATCATTCTTTACCCCCCGTGAAAATGATGCATCAACTACACAATTACAAACTACACTTGTCACGAGTACAATGTATAATAATAATTATAATACAACATGCTATACATATATAAATGTGTACTTATTAGTATCGCTGGTGTGTGTACAGAATGATCATCACATTGTGCATATGACGATCGAGTCAATATTTTAAAATCCGTACTCTATCTACTACTGCTACAAGAAATGCTACATTATTGAAATTTGACGCAACTCTTACTGTTAGTTGTTACATGGAACTTGCTCATATTACACTTGGCACAAACCGACTGAATGTACTATGAGTTAATATATAACTTGAAGCAGTATATTTACATATATATATTGGAGACTGATTGAAAATGTGTTTCGACATGATGGAAATGCTGCTCCCCAACAATTTATTTAGTAATAATAAAATAAATTATATAAATTCATAAATTGGTTTATTGAAGGATGACAAGAATTACAACTCAATCACATTAAGGATGATAGTGCAGGAGGGGACAAAGAGTCCTAAATGACTACTACATATACCATTGAAGACAGCAACGTTGGTAAATTCTTCATTTTTTCCCGAAGCAGGAGACCGCATTGAATGCACAGTACTTGGAATAGCTACGTTTTCTTGAAATTTCATTGCTTGACGAGTCCACGTAAGATCGCAGTCTATTGTTGTTGGCCAATGCAAAGCGCCGTGTGAGAAGGTAGGTTATCAGCGCGTTATCCGATGGTGCTTGGGCGCTCAGAACGTGTGGGTCGTAGAGCATGGGAGATGATTGCTGGCCGGCATCCAGTGTAATTGGGACCACCTACAAAATAGGAGGACAATGATTGCCTTGTGATGATTCAGATGGTTGCGACTTGTCAGAGATCACTCTCATTTGAATAATGGATTGATAACTTATTTTGGATGTGTTTTACTGGATCACACACTCAATCATAAATATGTCAGTATCAAATAATATGTATGTCTGTCCGAATTATGTGGGATGTACACGGAAGCAGCCTTTAATTAGTTCACCTGGCTCGCAGCAGTAACGAAGCTGTCGTGCCAATTTTCGATTAGATTTGAGATACAATTTTAAGCCTGCTCTTCTCTCTCACGGGGAGATTAAACCCAAGCCAGGTCGGTGACGTTCTTTTCTCTAACAAACTTTTAGCCTCTCTTTCATTTGAGTGGGCGCATCAGTCACCTGTTCGTTAGGAAATTGATTGCATGGGTTGAAGCTGCTATTGAAACAACACTGCCGACGGCACTGTTTCAGATTGACCCACAAAATTTCTCATTACGTCGGCTCGGCTACTATATCTGACCTGACGTATGTGTTGCGTAGCGTATGTGTAGCAACCCCTTGGATCATTATACAAATCTGTGTATGCATTTCCTGCTTTGACTCTGAGGTCAAAGAATTTCGAATCAAAAACTTTTACGGATTTGGGAGATGGCGACCCAAATTGAACACTATCTTTTTACGCATTTACACACGGATAATAAATGGTTGAATAAAATATGATACGCTTGAATGAAAAGGGTCAAGAAGAGGAACATCCTTAAAATGTATGATTTAGGCAGATAAAATGCATAGAAATTGTTACTCGATAGCACGGATTCATGTTCAAATCTTGGTGAAAGTATGACAAAACAAAATTGAAACCTTTTGTACACTGCGATTTTCTAAATTCAATTTCAACACAGATCATTGTTTGTATAAGTTTTTATACTTTTGGATGTTTAGCTCAACTGGCTTTTTTCTTTTATGTATTCAAATCATTATTTTGCTTTCTCTCAAGCATATTTTTGGGTCTGATGTCTGTGAATATCTGCTCTCGTTAGAGACTTCAGTTTATGTATATGATTCCAGAAATTCTAAGTTACAATGACTTACATTATCTTCTGGATTGGAGAGGGTCTCTCTATTTCTGTAATAAACTCTGGACCCAAGCAGGTCTTCGGAACTTGGTGATCCAGAAGGTGATGCTGAAATCAACGTCGCCATTACCACAACGATGAACGGGAGGATGAGAACCGTCCACGAAGTTTTATAGGCAGCTGTCACCATGATTTAACGCTGCTTAGAAAAAAATGACGGAAATTCAATTTTTCATTTGTTAATAGAATCCGTCAAAAAGTGGAGAAAGTAAAGTAGGACAACTTATATAGCATTAAGCCCAATGCAGGGGCTATGTGAGATTCTCTTTCAAATCAAAGCCATATATTCATTTCGCATACTATATCCATTACATTTCGTTATAAACACATCGTCACAGAGTATGAATACAGCTTGAATTAGGAAATGAGATAATTGGTGGCTCAAAATGAATAAATTAAGCGATTGCAAAAAATAAGACGCGTATTTGTGCCATGCCAAGAATTATACTGAAACCAAGCTCCTGCTCTTCTCCAACTCCGGAAAGGATTGGAAAAGGGGGAAATATGTATGAGTGATTGTCTTACGAGAGTTTAATGCACCAGACGAATAATCTGCTGCCTGTTGTTTCCTCGAGTAGTTTCAAAGTCGGAGGAGGTGGTTGACTCGTTACTTTTGGTGTTGAGATGAAAAATTTAATGGGATTCTGATGTCTGGGAGCAAGTGGCGGAGGTCGTGTGGTTGTCGTGCACAGTTGGACGCAGGGAGCAAGAGTGGACTGGAGTGGAGTCTGTGTGGGCCAAGTGGAGAAAGCACTCGCCTTTTATACCGACGACAACTTTTCTTCCCCTTTCTCGCTCCCTGCCTGCCTGCCTCCCTGCCTGGCTCTCTCGTATGCAACCACTGCTCATCCTTACGTGTCCTCTCCGTATTTCACCTTATTTGGACAAAACGCCAACAATGTTGGTGGTTCATCATCGAGAACGACTTTTAGTAATCTACCCAGAGCCCCGCATACGTACATGTCTTGACTTTCACTGGTTAAGATTTGTGGTCAATTCTAAACCAGAATATCCTATTTCATACTCAAATGTTGAAGGTTGGTGAACATATAATAAGTTTATTGAGGTATTATTTAGGGATGTTATGATTATTTTATTCGTGAGGGTTTGAGGGTGCCTTACATTTTTTGAATTTTGACGGTACCTTGTCAAATTTATCCCACTGAAATTAATGATACCAAGCTTCCACTCCAGAAGCACAGATTAATTAAGCACTCCAGCAGATACTCGACAAAATTGGTTTTACATCGAACTGCTGGCACTTGACAAATTAAATTTCCAATTTACTGGCCACACTCGTTAGTAACGACCTCATTTTAAGGTCGGATTCATCCAGGGCCTTCATCCGTACATGGTCATTTATTTAACTTCACTGTTTGCTATCGACCTTGACGTAGAAGAGAGGTGATGCCTTTATAGTGCATGACGGCGGCATCATACACATGTATCAGTGCATACAAAGATCTACGCTATATGTACATACAAGTCGGATTTTAATTTATTTTCCCACAAACTGCTCAAGGCTTTGCGATCTTTGATGAAAAATAAAGATTGATTGCAGCATCAAAAAAATATACATATTTGCACTTACTAATAAGGTCTGCGGTGCAGGTGGTTGTGGAGTGTGTACGACATTAAAAATATTTGCATAGCATTTTGAATCAAAAAAGATTGATGCTGCCGAAGTTGGTTGAATGATGAAAGTTCTTGAATATTGTGGGAATCAATCATTTTTGTTTGACCAAGCTGGCAGGGCAGGGTTAGGCAGGGCGTGGGTGGATGAGATTCGTAATCTGGTCAGGTGAAATAGTGAGAAGGAGTTTGTTTGTCAGAATTGAATGCTTTCTATGATCACCACTCTTTTTTTACGGTATTAACTCAACTTATGTACATAGTACGTACAGCTTATAAAATACTCTCGATCTATTTTTGATGCGACGCTTACACTTATTTAACATCTTCCTCAGCCGTTTCGTCATTGTTACAGCAAAGGAAAAGCAGTGGAGATATGAGTTTATTGCTATGAACTTACATAATCCCCCACAGCACGGTTGATCCCTTTTCCATCACGTGCGTTATACTTTCTTGATCCGATTTGGAATTCGCAATAATTTCTCAAGCGGAAACAGTGACCAGGTTGCCTGTACTAATTAACCGCATCTCTTGCCAAACCTGCTCGCTGTCTTTCTCAGCAACAATTTGAGATGAGCAGGCGCAACGCTTCAGTGCAGACTCATGCGGTCATCCTCAGCATAGAGAATGACCCAAGAATATCCACTGGATGAGTGTAATTATCAGTTACTTATTGATGTGGCAGAAATACCAAAACAACGAATGCGCATGAATGAGGAATATAATGACATTGCAATATCAAATTTCAGAACACTCGCTTCAGTATTATGGTGTTTTACGACTTGATAAAGCAGGGTACGTGAGAATCATTCACAATTTGAATATACATCGTTAATTCGGAGCAATTTGAACGAATTGACGCCCACACATAAACCCTCGTGAGTGAGTGAGCTTGGAAGCACATGACGCGATGAGCGTTATATATTCCAAGACCGATTACATTATGTGACTCACTTTTGAACATATATTTCGTCGTACTAATTCATAAAAGACCTAAGTGCAGTCGATGCTAAATTCAGAAACGACCGAAGTGCAGTCGATGCTCAATTCAGAAAAGACCTAAGTGCACAGAAAAAAAGTGAAAAAAGACCTATGTGCAAGTATGTATTTACTTATGGCTAAATCGCGCGATATATAGGAAAAATCATTTTGGCAAGATTTAGCCATAAGTAAATACATACTTGCACATAAGTCTTTTTTTACTTTTTTTCTGTGCACTTAGGTCTTTTCTGAATTGAACATCGACTGCACTTCGGTCGTTTCTGAATTAAACACCGACTGCACTTAGGTCTTTTCTGAATAAAGCATCGACTGCACTTAGGTCTTTTATGAATTAGTACGACGATTTACGAGTTTGGATGTATAGCATGTAAATGCGACGTTATAGTGGCTGATGTTTTTCAGAGATTTTCTTCGACTCTCGCATATATCGTTACATGATTGCAATGCATGATCATGCACTAGATCCGAACAATAAACTTTTTATTTTTTTGCTTTCAAACTTTTCCGCTCAAAGAAAGTTGAGGTTTTGATTGATTTCGTTTTAAGGTTATCGATTATATGGAGGGTATTCATTAGGACTTCGCATGTTCGCATCGCAACATAACTTTTTCGAAATTGCGAATTTTGCGAAGCAACAAAGTGAACACACTTCGCAAATGAAAAATTTGCGAAAATTTGGTATACAAATGTCTCGAATTTTGCAATGGGAAAAATGTTAATTTCCATTAGTTACCGAAATGCGTCTCAAATTTACCAAATAAGAAATTTCAAAAATTCCAAACCCCAAACTTCCGTAACCAATAGAGATTTATGGAGTTTTCCTATTGCAAAATTTGTGAAAAATATTTTGCGAACTAAATACTAGCCTTGGAGATGCGCAAGTTCGCAAGTCAATTTTCAAGCCAATAATTTTTGCGAACTTGCGAACTTTATTGTTTTGCGAACGTTGCTAACGATGCGAACTCGAAATGAATACCCTCATGGAAATGTTTCCTCGTAAACTGAATAAAATAGAGAAGTGCACATGATATTGCATACGAAAAGAGGTTCTGAAATGGTAATAATCAAGGCACAATATAATACACTTCTAGCTATTTGCTTGCAAGATAGATGCGCCAGTAGAAAAATTTGACAACATGGCAAGCACTCTGTGAAAATTGCAATTTTATTTCCGGTATAACAGTAAGGATGCATAGCACGAGGAGATTTATTCTATAGTTCCATTATACAATTAAGCCATGTCCTTTCGTTCCAGCATTTCTTGTCCCCATTTTCTTTTTACATCTTTTTCAATAAGGAAAACTGAATTGATTTGAATGACCAATATTCCAAGTCTATACATTCCATGCGTATTTCTTAACTAATCGATGAAACGAGAATTAAGAAATCATGCTCCAATTTCCAAGTAATTTAGCTTTGGACGCATTAATCAAGAGTAGTTTTGGCCTATAAATAAATTAATAGTATGGATTATTTGAATAAAGAAAACAATCAGAGATAAAAAGAAAGTTATGAATGGTGGTTAACTTATTCGGTAACTGAATGTCAACTGTCTTATACACCGTTGTCTACGCTTATCACCGGTTAATCATTTCAAGGTGTACAAATTCATTTCGAACGTCATGAGCAGTAAATACGTTTCTTTGTGTGGGCTTGTTTCGCCAATGATTTTGATGAAAGGTAAGCAAACAATCGTTCCCAGGTATGTGTTACAGGTCGAAGGAGGATCAAAGTGCTAGGAAACGTAATTTCGACTGCAAAATTGCTCAAAACCTAGTATTTTATTTGAGGGTGGGAAGTACATTGCTAAGCGGTCAAAGATTAATGCATGCCGGAGTAGTGCGAATAATGGCAGGAATGAGAAAGCATTTGGGAGCATATGTACATATGTGTATCAGTCGTTGTGATGTAGGAATCCCCATGGGTCATAGTCACCCCTCTTGCTCTCCCGTCCCGACGAAAGAATAAATCCATTAAACAAAGTGAAGCAAAAGTCAGTCGACATTTCAGTCGGCTGGATCCAACGAGAAAATTATTAGTGGGAGGACAAGTACATAGTGCGGGCATGGTGGCAGTTCGAATGTAAATGCAGCAGGATATGAAGGGATGCAGAGTGGATTTTGGCAGTGCAGACAGTGTGCTGTGCTTTCACCAGTTGCGCTACTTTCGCCTACCGCCAACACCCTGCGCCCGAGGAGGAAAGAATGTTGACTTCACGTCCTTATTCTAAGTAAGCCAAATTTCAAGACAAGACCAGCAGAAGACCCACGCCAACCAACCACTGCGAGAGTAGAATAGAATAGTGAAGCAGCGGAATAGGGCGAGCGAGAAAGCGTCAGTAATTCTCACTTCACATTCAATTCACTCTTCCGATCTGTATCAACTTCCCCATCACTCCCAATTCTCACCCATTAAAAACGCTGGATCCTTATATTCCATGTCCCTCATACACATATTTTTTGCAAATATTACTCACGACCTATTAAATAATTTCCCTGCTCCCTTCCTTATGCAAATCTAGTTATAAACCTGTTATAATCTCGTTATTTTAAAGATTAGAGTAATTCAACTCTCTCGGAATTTCGCAAGTTATTAGGCAACCCATTACTGATACCAGTACGTGAACTCTTCACGCTGGGCGGAGGGTACTTCCTGATGAAACAAGGATAGACTAATCCATCTCAAGAACGACTCAAGAAGTGCATAGTGAAGAACTCGAAATGATGAACCTTATTCTAATCCTGGCTTTCTCCGCTGTTCTCCCATCCTCCATCGTGTGTGGAACCATTGCGAGGACGTCGAGTGACATGAAAGCACGACCACCTATTCTTAACCAATCTCTTCCACCATCACCCCTACTGGCATCACATTCTAAGAATTATAATTCATCGCATCCGGCCTCAAGGAATCTGGATGCTCGAGAAAAACGAGAAATCCCTGCAGAAGCAAACGATGTTCTTTTCCCGGATTACCGAATTTCTGTAAGTCAACCTTACATACTTTTTTTTTTACATGTATCCTTATCCCCGTGCATCGTATATAGTTTCCTACTGACAGACGTATATGATTGATGAAATTAAACTTTTCATCCATTTGTTACGAGGTTATTTATAAATATTGACAGCGTTATTAAGCAGTGCGAGGGTGCCGTAAATCTTGGCTAACTGGTAGGTACACACACCTTGGCAAAGGATAAACCTAGTGTACTCTGGTAATCCTTCTTGTAGAACTTCCCCCGCACGAAAGTCGATATCCAAGAGAAATGGAAACCATTAAGAATGTCAGGTTTCACGTCCAGAATTACTTGCGGCCTCAGGTCAAACGTATGATCATTACTGACACGAGGAGGTTAGGCATGCCGACAGACCTTTGTGCTTTCACTCTGCCTTTCTCCAACAACACCACCTTCATGGATTTTCCATCCGGCTTTTCCATCCGCTCCCTCATTGCTGCTGACACTTCTTAAATAACCGTCGTCCTCAGTTTCAGTTTAAGGATGTGCTGAATAGTGATTTTATCTCAGACTGTGTCCAAGTATCCAAGTATCAGAACCTCTGATAAGAAAATGTATCGTCCACTTTATGGCGTGGAAGCACTAATTCATTATTTTGTCAATTTAGGAAATGATGCCAAAGAGAGCGGCGGCTGGGCTGAACAAAATTATTTATGTTCTTCGGAATTCATTTGACAAGGCTGCCCCATCATCTCCAGAAAATGATGTAGGTTCAAGGGTAAGATTAAACTTGTGAGATTCATGTCACATAAATACATACGTCACCCAAAGTTAGCTCACTTGTTGATTCCATCGCGTTATTGTTATTGTTACGCTTGCTGCATACGCAAACAACTTTCTACAAATAGTCAGGGGACACATTATGCAGTCGTATTCACGAGAGGCAGAAGGCCTTTGTTGTAGTAACACACAAACCACTTTGTCAAAGACTCAAGACCACGTTCTCTCATTATTTCGTTAAATTGGCAATCACCAGTTGACATCAATTTTATCATGGACTTCGTAGTTGCACATTATGCCGTCATCAGTCTCAAAATTAATTGTTTTAGGAAAATGACAACTTCTCAGGGGATATAAACCGAGCCCTGGTCAGGGGAAGCAGTGTTGATCGGGTAATCAATATTGCATATTAACATTTAGTTAGACATAAGATAGTGAGAAATACAATCTTACTTAATTAATCACGTATGTATCATTAATATGGAACTTTTGCATGCATTAATTATTACATACATTTGACACGTTGTATAAGACGATGTGCTAATTTCTTCTGTTTTGGCTTAAGAAAAACGATGTATTTTAGTTTCCAGCTGCACTTGTTGAACGGAGAGGTCAGGCGGCTCAGAAAGACAGGAAAATCTACCTCAGATGTTATTTTAACGCCGTGTCCTGCTTCAGGAAGAAGAAATGAAACACCGACGATGACGACGAGCGAAAATCCACACTTGTTTCCGAACAACAGGTTGAGCAGCCATCAAAACCACTTTCTTCATCATCTTTCTGAATCATTTCTCATGTGTGTGAGCCTGCCCCGACGGTTGTTACATGACTTTATTCACCCTTCTTATCATACACGTGTGCATGTCCGTATGTATAGCCATAGGTAGAGTTATACACATGTATTTAGTAGGTGTCATCAGTGGCCAAGTTAAATTTTCTAATGTGTATTAAATTTTGGTTAAATTAAATATGAATTTGTAAAAGGAATTGAACATGATTTTTAATTTTAATAAAATTTATTTTCTCGCATACCGAAAGTTACAGTTTACATAAAATTACTGTATATTTCCACTTACAAAATACAAACATAATACTGATATGTAAACAATGATTGCATTGAATCGCATATAACTTGGCATATTGTACCAAAGTTTTTACCTAACAAGTAATTACAAACTATTAGTGATTACTCTTTATGTCCAGGCGGCGTGCTATAAGTATAAACATTTCACCAATTCAAACCCTCTACACGTAAGTAATTACAGAATAATTCATAATTCACAGAATTTCACCACATTTAACTCTTTGGATTTTTACGAAAATGGGGAAATCATGTACTTTAATTATAATATTCACATTGGAAAGACAGGATATTTTTACAAGTAAAATATAAGATTTGGTATCACCGTGCTCTATAAATCTTTCACTGAAGGAGTCCACTTCCTGAAGGATCTTTTCTAATATGCATCAGAAATCGAAGCAGCATTTATCAGCATGGGTGTATAGGATATAAATATCAGGAGAAAGTAACACTTTTTCACTAAGGGCTGTTGGTGTTGACGTTATTGTTGTGACAATGGGAACAATGAGAACAAATGACACATGTTCCTAGTTTTCTGGCAATCGTTGATCGAAATTTGAGGATTGGGCCTAATTTCATTCCCATTCCATTCATGAGGTGTTCTTCGGTAAGGAGTGGGAGAGATGATCCGTCAATTGCATGCTCACGGAAGACCTAAAATATGTAAAGCAGAGCATTTATATAACATGGACATTTTGCCGGTCTCAAATTCAAGCTGTTGGTTCAGTGGTGGTTTGGTGTACGATAAGCGGATCAAGAATTCTATTCTTCAGTAATAACCTTTTGTGAATAACCTGCACGGAAAGTTAAGACGCCACCAACCAACCCAAACACCCACCACCTTTAACCCAGAGGGGTTAAAGCATTAAAAAGACATATATGCATTTCATTTTCCTGGTAGATAATCCATTTAGTCTTTGAAAGAGAGATGCCTAATAATCGTTATCTCTTAAAACCTATAAAAATTTCAAAGCTAAAACACTCAAACTTTGCTGGATCTTTAACATTTGGATTTGTACAGAAGCGAGTTGTGGGAGAGATCAACACATCAGCATCAGCACATGTAACCACTTGAGAAGAACTCAATTTTTTTGAAACCAAGGCACCAGCGTCCCTGGGGAGAAAGCTGGTGGGTTTTCAATAAATACCTAATGCGCACACAAACAGACTTTTTAAGTAGTTCAAGTACACATCAGTTCACAACATTTTCTCCAGAAATCCCTCCTCGCTAAATTTCACTCCACACACACGCAAAGCAAAACTAAATTCAGGTGGTTAGGTTTAAAGGCAGACAAGTGAGGATCAAACGGCAGAACAACATGTTAACAGATCTGAGGAGCAAAGTTAATTTTAACATCATTCATCATCATTCCAACTTGTCCCTGATGAGTTGTATCAGAAGGATTGAAATATTTTTTTAAAAGCAGACAAAGTGCAATCGCAGCTACATACCTACAAGCGCTACACTATAATCGACGAAAAACCTTGCAGGAAAGATGCTAACATTAGACTCTTTGTATTAACAAAACTATATGATTATAACTTTGAGCAACATTGTAGCACCACTTTCTAAAAGGTATTCATGTATTACCTCAACATAATCTTTGCAGAGGTCAATGTTGGATACGAATCGACAAACTTCGTCTACAGACCAACTGATCATGGTCTGAGCCTCCTCAGTACATCCGGTCGAGCAGGAGGAGAGACATGGCGATGAGATGGAGGTGTTGGCTGCATTTGCAGATTTCAAAGTCATCGCATCTAGAGGATTTCTTTGTTTGGACTTTTTCACGGGGGGTGGAGTGTTTGGCGTGTCTCTGGAGGATAGATCCAGTGGCGAATTAGGGCGTTTATTGTGGTGGCTTTGGCTGCTACTGTTTGCCTTCAAACTCTCCAAATTATTGGCAGCCGCGGCCGAGGCAGACCTGACCATGGAGAGGAGCGTGGAGGTGGAAGACATGTCCATAAACTTTTCCTTGTCGCCAAATAGTGAGGATGGAATTTGAGAGCAACTGAGGTTTAGCAAGGCGGCTGCTGCTGCTGGTTTGAGGAAACGAGTATCAAATGCAAAATTTGCTGGTGACGTTCTGCTGTAGTAGCTATAATTATAAAATATTCAAAGATAAGCTCATTTTACACTGTGACCGACATTTTAGAACATGAGCCTAATATGCGTTTTGTTTGGAATTTTGGCAGAAATTATGCTTTCCCTGTCATTATATTGTATGTAGGTTGTACTTGTGATGATTGTCCAACGTACTAAAACTTTTTCCACGTGGTTCTTTAGCCCCACACCTAAATCCTTTGATGCAAAGCCGTGTAAAACTACACGTAGGCTATTCTCCTATAGATTACACTGGGAGGGATATACAGCAACACCACTACTGTGTGCCACGGGGTTTAATTAGGAGCTTATCCGTCTACTGGGCATAAGGATTATGGAGAAAGTTGGTGTGTCGGTTTACCCTATTCCTTTATAATTGCATGCAATTTTAAAGCATCAAAAGAAGATGGGAAGGCCTAAAACCGGACAAACACAGTGTTCTTTTTCCAGAACACAAGGTTAGCCGTAGGACACATCCCATTAAATTCTCAGATCACGCAAAAGTGTCTTTCTTTTTGACTGCCGTTTTTTCGACAAGAGTCCCAGAAAATAAAAATAAAATAACATTTACTAAATAATATGAGCGTAGATTTTTTTCTGTAGCAAGAAATATCTACTTATGCACTTTAGACTATTATACTCGGTCACGACAAGAGGTTAAATGCGTGCATTTAAGGATAAGTAACAGTACGTAGAAATTGCTGTCTATCCCGATGCTATCGTTGTGCTTGCACACATCGTCATAAACTTTTTCATGGAGCACGAGTTTTGCGACATATGATATCGGAAATTCAGATGAAGAAGCTCTATGTATACTTCCGTTTAATATGGGTGAAGTGGTGTCAGTTACTAAAATTGAAAATTCTGAGAAGTGCTCATAGATATGCCCGAAGGAGCAATTGTGCAAAACTAATTTCCCGTTTTGCTTCTAAAAATAAAACATGTGAATTCATATAGTTCCAGTTGTTCTTACTCTGGAGTCATGGTCGTCGACTGCTGATTGTACTTTGCTGCAAGACTTCTCATAAAGTCGGAATAATTTCTGCTACCGGATCCCATCATGAGTTCCATCTGCTTGATCGGTTGAGGTGGGGGCGATGCTCCAGCGGTGCCTGTATTCTGACTCGTCGACGGAGGTGGCGTCATTGGCGGCGAAGTCGTTGATGAACTTAATTGTGGCGAATGACGCTCATTTTTCACCACGATTGCCTTGTTCTTACGTTTATTGGACTTTGGTGGGGTTGGTGAGTCATTATTGTTATTCATATTTGTAGCGGATCCAGTTATTGACGTCTCTTCTGATTGGGATTCAGCTGCTGAAAATAACGAAATTATAAATGCTTCATGAAGTATTCAATAAGTTTAACCAATTTTATTACATCAAGTGTAAAACTAGTTAATCTCGTTTGGATACTAAGAAATCCATGCGAGGATGTTGCATCATCACCCAAAACTTATTGGAGTCTCACTCGAGTGCTGGTGGTTGGTGGGTGGGTGGGCGAATTGCGTCTACTACTTTCTCCTGCTTTTATTGACGTCATTCCTGCTTCTTCCACTTTTCAGACCTGGCTGACAGCGTGAAGCGAAGTGCGCCAAGTGAGCACACACGTAGGGAAAGAGAAACGGATTTCGCTTGCGTATGATTTTGTACAAAAGTCTCATCTCTCATCTCCTTCAATTAAGCTGCACATTAATAATGAAGATGAGTAAGGTATTTTTCATTAGAGATGAAAGTCACAAGACATATTATTGGAAAGAGTACTTATTAGTTTGTTACAGTGAAGATATTTTGACCAGCGCAAGAATTCGCAATGTGCCCCAAAAGGAGAATCTATCTGCATGATGAGAATTTCAAGTACAAATTGTCTCACATTGTTACTGCGTAGCTTTTTTGTACAAATCAATGAAAATGGATGGAGGATGGTTATGGTGAATCTAATATTGCAGTGTTGAATGTTTTGAATTACTTTTCGAGTAGAAATTGATTTTGAAAGCTGTTTTGAGAAAGAAAAGCAAATGAACAAGTCATGATGAGGTTCTGGTGGTACGTTTATGGGTGTGAGAACTCGAGTCAATTATCATTATTTAGAAATTGGCAACAATGGCATAGGCAGTTTAGTTGAATAGATGGCTTGTTTGGTCAAAAACCTCCTTTTCGCCCGAGTCATGAATATTGTAACTTTAATTATTATCGGTGTCTGATAGAAAATTATGGAATTGACTTCACTTTTCCAACTCATCTACACAGAGAACAGCTTATGTATAATTTTCATAAATCGGTAGTAGCATTCACCCTACTGAGTATATTGATTCATTCGAAACAATAATATAGACAAATGAAAATTTGGTATTCAAATCTTTCTAATTTAATCTTCCTAATTCTAAAATTAGAGGTCACACGTCCTATGAATGTGATAAACTATCCATTACTTTCGCCCAATCCAAGTCTTGTTCAAATCAGTTCGGTAGTTTCAGTACTCCACTAATATCTCTATCGTCATAGATGGAAGGACAGACATGAAAGTTGCATAAGCCTAAATCGGGCTAAAACGGTCTAAAACTGACCCAGGGCCGCAGAATTATGGGGACCGTATGGGACTATAACATTGAGAGATATGGAAGGGGAGGGACTTGTAATGACATTGCAGGATAGGGAAATTCAATATTTCAACAGGAACAATGTCCCCAGGTTCTGCGGCGCCTGTGTTTGTGTGTGGCAGAGGAAGGTAGACAGGTCCATCTCATCAACATCATAGACATGCATGCATAATAATATGCATGTGGACGAGGAGGATTATTAGTTGGAAAGAGCAGCAGTAGTCGTGTGTGAAGAGCTTCTGTGAAGAGAGAGAGAAAATGACTAAGCGATAATAATTAAGAGATGACGAAGACCATCCACGATCGGACGAAGTGTGAGAAAGCTCAGAAGCAGCATGGCTGAGAGTGACCTTTTTAGTAATTTAAATTGTTTAGAGAGTGACTTTGCGGAATTTCTTATAAAAGACTTTGGAGCCTGACTTCTTGCTCTTGGTTTGGTGAATAAAAGACGAGATTTTGTACCAAACCAACTTTCCACTGTGGCCGTGATGATGAGAGTATACTTTATTTTTATCGTGCCTCTGATGATTCTCTGCTGCTGTCTCACCTCTCTCCTCTCCACAATACACTTATGTTCCTCTGATGGACCAACGAGGCAAGATTGAGGCACGTTTAGTCAAAAATTACAGAATTTACATGAAATATGTATTACTGAGCATGTATTTATAAAGGCAATTGGATTTGAGATGCATCTAAAGTCAACAGGTTGCAGTTTCGAGTGAATGTATAAACATAAACTGATGGCAAATAGGACACCATGTAAAATGTGAGACTTATCATCCTGAGCAAGAAGGCAGTAAAACATGGCCATTTTATTTTTTAAAAAAAGTCTTTCAATAAAGAGGAACTCCTCCTTATTAAAGTGTATGGTTTATGCCTTTGGAGCCCACCCATTTTATGAGAAGCCGTTTTGCACCCTTACATTAATTTTAGGACCAAACCAAGACTGTGGTGGTGTCTCTTGGAACTCTAGCAGTGGCCACCAATTATTAAAATGAAGAGCACTATATGAGACTGACAAAGATGATGGTTCTTTGGTCTCATAAAACCACTCACTATCATTACATCAACTCTACGTGGCAATTATGCTGGGGAGGTAACAGGATTCGCGAATTGTGGAATGCGCTAAGCCCACATTTTTTGCAATAATGGGAAGAAGAAAGGCGCAAGTGGAGAATGCCGGCGAGTGAAAATAATAATGCGTTTGACAGTTTGGATTGTTATAATAATTCCGTAAGGTTCACGATTGTTCAGACCACGACGACGACGACGCGACTGCTTCACAGTTTGAGTGGAGATGAAACAGTTAATAAATCAAAATTTTTAAAACCTCTGCGAGATATCCACAATTACTACCACGAGACTAATTAAATGAGAAAGAACAAAGGGCCAACAGCTCAATTTTTTTACACACACATACAATTCGTATTGTCTACTTTTGAATTGCCAATGCTGATTCAGCTACAACCAAGGCGTTTGAAGTTGGCATGCATGTGGTTTCGATGAAAATAAGGGAAAGGAGAACAAAATCGATCGACAGTGAGACGAGTATCAAATCACATTTCCAGAAAAAAATAGGTTGTTACTTACACCCAGCATAGCACCAAGAAGGCCAGACCACGGGGCTGGAGTTAGTGTCCAATTCCGTCATAATTATTACGGAAACTTGATCCCCACAAAAGATCTCGCTCCCGATCCTCCTTGTTGCTCATATATGTGCAATCAGTTTATGCTGAGAGATGGGTCTGCACCTTTGGAAGGATACTTTATATCCTCGTTGTCGGAATTCAACCACTTTCCAGCATTGCCAAAACCCAACCTCACTAGCACACTTCACCACACTTAACTTTTATGGAAGACTCGCCGACAAGGATTGTTATTGCTACGAGCTGCATACACTAATAAGGACAATAATAATTCTGCAATATGTAACGCAAACCGAGAGGGGAAAGTCGAAAGAAATAACAATCAGTTTTCTGTTTCACTCCGGGGAAAATGAGACTCCTAAGGTAAACTGCAACATAACCCTCTGATGTAAGAGGTTACCGACTTTTCTGGTATTTTCTCCTTGAAAAATTATGTCTTTGTTAAGCTTGAACTGTTAAAGTTAAATTATGTCGATGAAGAGAACACAACTTGAATACGGAAGAAGCTGATCCGGTGAGATGAGAATTACCAATGTGGCGTACACACCGGGCTGATGCTGATCAACAGGTTGCAGAGAGAGGACTTATTTGATCCACGATCTAAATCCAACCTTCGTTGTATCCCAACATGCCGTGTGTAAAGAATAGAAATGCCTGCAGGAAATCTCTTCCCACAACCACACCGTCTTTTACTTTACTACGAGTCCTCTTCTATAGTAATGGCACATTGGACACTCGCCGAGTAAAAATTCTGATGCATATGCATATACGGACAGACCACTAACTACTGACTGACTACATTTATTAGCATGCAGTGGTTGGTTGGCGACTCATCTATAATCCTCTTTTTTTGGGGCTTGTTGCTGCTGCTTAGTTTATGAGTTCATCGTTAACTCATTACTAGCGAACTAAGATTAGCCCACAAAATCTCAAATAATGAGGAATACACAGCCAAGAAGGAGAGAAGCAGAAAATAATGTAACGACCAACCAATCATACCAACCTTGCGATAGGATTTTGGTGGTCAGACAGTAGTGAGGAATAATAAATACATAGTCGTCTCACAAGTATAAATCCCTTTAGAGATATTTTTGAGCCTCCGATTCTTTTGATACGATACATCACACCAGCCAGCGCAGCAGCAGCATCAGCAGCAGTAGTCCCAATGACTCGCTTTGCTTTGATTTGGCTTCCTATTCATTGTTGTAAAGATCAAGGGAAAAAGTCAAGGAAAATCTATTCTTACGCACGACTTGTTTTATTTGCAGATGTGGCATGAAGGAGAGAGAGAGGTTTAATCCAATATTTCCAAGATATGACTTATCATCCTTCTTAATTATTAACGAAGAAGACGTGCCAACAGAGTTAGGTAGTAGGCGTCGTTGTGAGACGTAAATCCGTATGCAGTAATGCATGCATTTGGATATAATGATCTAAAAATGTGTGTATCATTCCATTTCATCTTTTGTGACTTTCCTGCTAATTTAATTCATTTTCTAGCTTTCTTCAATTTCATTTCAACAAATTTTCCCACATTATGAGAATTGGAAACCTAACGAGTGAACACATACATATTTTAACTTGCGCTAAAAATCATATTTCAAATGACGAAATAATATGATCAAGTGGCAAAGTGATAATTGGCATGTTGAGATTTGAGTTGAAAACTCTAAAGTTGAGACTTTCTTTGTTCAACGGCAAGCCACTAGCTTAGCGAGAATAATGCAGAATGCAGGTATGAAATGAACAAATTTACTTTGGTTATAATAAATAATGAAGTCAAGTGTGTGAGTGTGACTATTAACCAAAGTTAGCATAACATCTGGTGCTCCGAGGCAGATGACGAGGACGAGATGAGATGAGGAGCGATGGGCTTTGCAAATAACAAATTGAAGCCTCAAGTGCTGTTCTGTGATGTCCGGTGCGTCCGACCGACCGACCGGCGAAGATGACCAAGATGAGATGATGAAGATTTTGCATTTAGCACGGCAAAAAGATTTGAATTCGACACATCTCTAAATACCCGCAGAGATAGATAGCGCACTGAGCTACATATAAATAAAGATGAGAAG